TATCCTTGCTGTACCATTCAGACTTTGGGCTTTGCATGATATACGTAGGATTATGTACACATGTATTGTTCTTCACAATATGATTGTTGAAGATAGGGAGGTTGTAGATCCCAAAGTTGAAGATTTTCCTACAAACACAGAGATTGTTCCAAATCACTGTGATCCACAAATCCGACAAACACCTACTCAGTTTGTATCAAACTATCTCGATTTGCAAAATTCTGAATTACATCGCCAACTCATGAATGATCTCAAGATTCATAACTGGATGGCACGAGGGGCACAGGTTGGTAGAGGTAGATGAATCAAGACTCTTCATTTCTTTGGAATTGTGTGTCTATAAAAGCTACCAGAAACAATGTGAAGCACTAAAAAATAAGATGAAACGATAAACAGAAAGGAGATAAAACAATACCATCTATTTAACAAAAATTGAAGAACATGAGAATTTTGAATCTTTACTGAAAAGGAAATATTTGAGTCGGATAGATTGATTCTAAGGCCTCTTCTTTTTTAAAATCAATTGAATCTAAAAATACTATTTGAGTTAAAGTCAATTGAATCTGAAAATGCTATTCAAGTTGAATTCATTGAGTCTAAAAAGACTTATTTGAGTTAAAGTGATCGAGTGTGAAAAATCATATTGGGTGTCTAATGAACAACATTGTTTTGAGTTGGGTGATTCTACAAAGACAACTTGAGTTAAATCTATTGACTTTAAATGATATTAAATTGATGAGGATGATGATTCGTCCTGAGTTTGATGCTTTTCTTTTAAGCGTTTTTGCATCATTCTGAGGACCTCCTTAGCAACAGGGGTGTGACAATTTTCCTCCGACATCATTAATACTTTCAGCTTGTTGACTTGAACTAAACTGGCTTTGGCTTCAGCATCAGCCTTGGCCATATCCTTTGCCACCTCATTACCTTCCTGGATAGCCTTTAGTCAGAGTTCAGCTAAATCATTGCTGCGTTTGATTTGTTCTTGACAAGTCTTTTCCACCTCTTCAGCCTTTGCATTGTCAAAACGCTTGTGCTTCAATTTTTTGGTTCCAATTGGTTGTTCTGGGCTAGTGGCACGAGGGGTACTGGGATTGGAGGACTCGGAGGCCGTGTCGCTAGAGGGGATGCTAGAAATTGCCATTGCTAATGGACCAGGAGGAGGTTGCGGGGTAATCCATTTGGGTGCAGTCTCAGAATCCTCCAAGCTGGGAGGGATTTGAAGTGATATCAGGGGTTCATCTCATCAGAGATCTTGATTGCGAGATCTGGCCAATTGGTCTCAACAGTGCTGCTGGGAGGCTCGCGTTTGATCTGAGCATAGATTGATGAGAACTTGAGGGTGGCTGTCTTCAAAGACGCCCATCTACAAAGTGTAGTACAAAGAATCAGTTTGATTCATTGAAATCATTTACAAGGTAAAAGTAGCTTGCCTTATTTTGACTGAATTTACGTCTTGCTTCTCAAAAGGTGAGATTGAGTTGAGATAATCGGTGACTCACAGGAAAAAGACCTCGCCGCTCTGATTTGTTCCGAATTCTGGTTGCTGGTTGATGTGAAGCCAAGCCTTGGCTAGCCTCTCCTCTTTGGCCAAAGACCAGTTGTTTGATTTTTTCTTTTTTGATTTAATTTGATTGATTTGATATTGATTGGTTTGTTTATTGTCCTGATTATTGTCAAAATTATCAATTGATTGTTCTTCAATTTCATTGAGTTGATTCATTTTGATTGATTGAAAAATATAAGTTGAGATCAATATCAATGAAAGTCAAAAGATAGTGAAAAATGAAACAAAAATCGAGCCGTGTGTAGAGGGTGTGAAGTTCGCTGGGTTTGGTAGAACATGTAGATACCAACTTGGTAGAGGTCCAGTACATTTGCTGGACCTCTACCAAATTTTGAGTGTATCCATAAGTACCGATCTGTAATTATTGGGGTTTTCTGGCCTTGGTATAGTAAAATTTACCGTACCAAGGCCACTTACCAAGACAATAGTGGATGCTCTTACTTACATGCTTTTAAGGTGGTTTGTAGGAAGCCACCATGCTTCACCTGGACCAATCATTAGCCATCTTATGTAACTAGGGCGCACTTTTCACGCCATGACCACCAGATGAGTTGTAAGTCCCTCCTCCGCAGGTTCCAGGCTCCGGAGGATGCCTGCAATTGAGAAGGGACTTAGTTAAGTTGGTGAAGAACCTGCTTTTTGCTGCAAAACCAGTTCTATCCGTGGTTTTTGGACTTTACAGTTTTGGGCACATATACAGCTATTTTGTTATATGTTGGACATCAAGATTGCTACCCTTGAAAAGATTAAACCTCAAAATTGACCACTGAAAACAAAAAAATACAGTGTTTGCTGTGTTAAATCCGGTTAAAAACATGAGCTGTAACTTTTTCCATTTTTCTCGAGGTCCAACATATAACAAAATAGCTGTACCAATATCTACCGATGATTCTTGTCCTGCTTGAAATGTTTGGTTCACAGAGACTGACGCTTCAGTAGAATATCATCCCGTCGAAAAACAACTCACTGGGGCTAAATCTATCTGTTCTATCTGTTCACGAATCCACGATACGTTGTTTCTGCGTCAAAAGAGTTAACGTTTGGGAAACACGCCGAAAATAGGCTATTTATGGTCAATCCGCACACCGTTCTTAAGAGACGAATCGCACACGGAACTAGTTTTCCGACAAGTTCATCCGAGTAGACAGGAGAACAAACTCCGTAGACTGTGAAGCTAGCTAGCGGGCCTTTCGTTTAGTCTGGTCGAAGGTGGGACTCGAACTGATCCTCGACGTCGAGCGAGTGACTACAGTCGCTAAAGCCAGATTCCAACTACCCCTTGCCCGCAAAATCAAAATTTCAACTTCGACCCGGTGTTACCCTAACTCAATTCTACACTACACTCTATACCAGGATATTTATGGAATGGGCTGAATGAGCTCAATCTGAAAATGTGAAAAAAAATCAAAAAAGTTGAACGGTTCAAAAGTTGATTATTTTTTTTTTACTAAAATTCCCACATTTTGGGACCTAAGCATATATTTAGGCTGTATTATGCTAATAAACGTAGTACCTTAGCCACCTAAGTACTTAGGCCCGCTAGCTTAAGTACTTAATAGCTCTAGTCGTAACAACAGGTTGGCCACAAAATCAGATCAATTACCACCTTGAACACTGGTTTTGACTAGTTGGAAGAGTTTTGGGCCTTATAGACTCTCGTTTGAGCCCTGAAAGCTATAATTCTGGTATAATATGATGAGTTCTTGAAGATTTGAAGATGCTAAAAAACTATTTTTTTGGAAATTCAAACCCCCAAAATTGGGACCGGGGCCGGCCCCGGGTCGAAAGGGTAGCTGAATTCAGCCTTTAGAGCATCCACAACGGTCCACCTACTTTGCGGGCCCCCAGCGATGTAGGGGGTCAAAACGCAAAAAAACGCTCCAACGGAGCTCGCACAATCGGGGGTGAGACGTCGGGGGCCTCCAGATTTCCATCCGGACCCCCCACATCTGCGAGGTCTATAGGGGCTCCCAATATCACGTGCCACTGCTTCCACGTGACCGATATAGTCACGTCTCAAACCGCACTCGAAACAAGATGATATGGTACAAGCATACCATATCACTCAATCGAGTTCTGGCCCCTGACTTCAAGTGCACCGCTGTGGACACCTGTTTTTTTGACCCCCTACATCCACAAAATCAGGATCGGGGGTCTGTTCCAGGGCTCGCAAAGTAGGTGGACCGTTGTGGATGCTCTTAGCGACTGTAGTGTCGAAGAATTTTAAAGTCCGAATACGCTCATGATGCAAATGTTCACCGGCGAACTCGTTGATTGCGGTAGTGTTTTAAAAAAACCAACGATCTTGAAAACGGCTGTAACATGTTACATACATCGCTGTTTCAAAGATATATTATAGCATGTCTATCCGTGAGGAGAGTGAGACCTGTGACGGATCGGTATGTGCCTCCGGATCATCATCATTATGCAACGGTGCAAGAAAGATGAAAGGGATGAAAGGTTTATGCAACATATGTTTATTTTTCTTCTTTAAGGTTACGTTGCCAGCCGACAGCACTGGCAGACAGCAAAGATGAACCTTGTTAAGCTTATCGCGTTGTATCAAATCAAAAGGACTCACTCGTCGGAAGACGTCGGAAACCACTCGACAGCACTCGACGCTGTGACTAGCTGTGACTCACTCGTGTGCGAGACCAGGTGGGATTAGAATTGACAACCCCATTCAAGAGCTCAGCTCCTTCGACTTACGAAAGCCCGGGTGATATTCCATTCCCACCGGTTCGAGGATGCCAAGCGCATCCTTAAAGCTGCTTTGAACACCGGGTTAGAAATTCTTTCGGCCGGACTACGTGAGCCTCGAATGGGTTGTTCAAAAGATTTTAAGCTTCTACGTAAAGGAAGACTTGGGATCCCGGAACACACTGCGCTGTACACTACTACGTCTTGTTATACATGCTTATTTAAAGTAGCTGGCAAGGTTATACAATTCACTGAACTCTACTGAACTTGGAATTTGTTTGATTTTAGGTTTGTACTATTTTGTACACATCTATTTACAATTGGTGATAGCTTCAAATCCCATTTGTGAACTCGGGATATGCAATTGATCACGAGATAGAAGAGGTTCAAAAGCTGAACGCATAAAACCAACCCTCGCTCGACGCCTCGCGAGGATGCGCGGCGTGGGACTTTGTTAAGTAAAAACCAACTAGCTCTCAGATTGTGGAATCTGGATCACATCCAAATGGCTATCATTCTTCGAATTCAATCTATTGACTGCCTGGTGATTTTGTGAAGTCTTTTTCAAGTCTTCTTCGTCCTTCTCAATAACAATCATACATTATCTTAATCAAGCATTGTTTATAAGTACAATTATCAATCTGATACATAGCATCTTCATCGCACTTGTTTGTCACACCCTTCTAAACCTTCATTTGCATTCATCTTTTCTCCTATCTTCCATAAATCCCAAATGGACCCTAACTTTTATACCTCCAAGCACACTCGTCGCAATCCAACTTCACATCCCGGTCCTAATCCCAATCCAATCAACCCAAACGGCGCTCAGTATCGTTTTCTGGTAGACTCAAGGGCATCCCAAAGGTTTCATTCAGCTCTCTCCCTTCAGATCACTCATAGGTGATGAGCGCTGATCGATCTGAGGATGTTTTACTTTACTTGTTGCCAAAACTCGCTCTAGTCATCCGCCCTACCAGCTCGTCGTGCGTCAACAGCCGAGCTCCGCACGAATATGCAGCTTCAAAGATAAAAGTATCTTACAGTCCTCCCGTCTTCTGATTCCTTAATCTGGTTCTTTTCTGCTCCCAAACGCTAAACTTTTCCTATGATCTCTCTTGATTCAGTTGACCGCCGTCCTCTTGATCCTCCCCCGATCGTTGAAATAATATCCCCAGGACACGAACCGTACGTCATCTTGGCTAAATCGAATTTGAATCTAGACTGTGATATCCAATCCTCTTTCTCCTTTTTGTACATCTTCCACCATGTCTTGTTTCCTGTGATATGTTTTGTACATGCCTATGTATATCCCTGTATCCTGTTCTATCTGTTTGTCCCCGACTTTGGATTTGTGTTCTTGGATGATAGAGTGGTCTCCAGAGGTTCAGGGTGAATGTTGATGCGAATTGGCAACATGACCTCAGTGAATTGCACATCAACTCGAATCTCTGCCTAGTTGCACATCTCATCAAGCATGATGTCGACCAAGAAGTGCGGTCTGACAATGGAGGAAGGTGTACGGCAGGAACTATCGTTCAGGTTTGTCGATCTTTTCACTTTTGTCACTTGGATTTTCTTTTCTTCGGTGTTTCGATCGATCGATCGGCCAACCTTTGATGTTTTTGGTCAACAACCTTTTCTATGTATCACTGCTCTCACCTCCACTCATGATCTTGTGTTATATGATTTTCCGTAATTCCAGAGTCCACACCGGCTTCGTGACCTTTCTGGTGAGTCGCTGCTTTCTTTTGCCGAGGTCTCTCCCATCGTCAGTCAAAGAGCACATGCGTGCCTCACAATCCAAGAGTCAAGACTTCACCGTCTTGACATCCATCGAGCTTCTCAAAGCAACCCAATATTTCACATCAAGCTAACCTCTTCCAACACAGGTCAATTTGCCGTCTTCTTTGCATTTCCCGATGTTTCAATCAGGCTCGAAGGCAGTTATCGCCTTGAATTTCGACTCTACTCCATCGCTGTGTAAGTGTTAATGACCGGATTCAGTCCTTCAAGCAGCCAACTTCAGCTCACTGACTGAAATGCTCCGATTTTTTTGTTTTGTTTTGGAACACAACAATAACAGAGGTGGTCGAACCTCTGGGCCCCTCGCAAAGGTCTCTTCTACCCCATTCCGAGTCATGCCACCCAAGTTTTTCCCCGGAATGGCGTCCTCATCAGAACTTACTCGTCACTTGGCTGAACAAGGTTTCAAGCTTCGGGTTCGTAAAAAGACAAGGACAGTCGCTAGTCACCAGAGTGTTGCCTCAGAGTCTGATCCAACTCAGACGGGATCATGCTCTACCCCCGATGTAAGTTAATCCTTTCTTTTTTGTAAGAGGGGATAATCTCCATTACTCACATGTACTGGCTTGTCATTTCATCAGATGATCAGCTCGCACGGTAAGAGGAAGCGAATGAACAAATCATTTCCGACGTCCGCGGAACCGCAGACCTGTGCAGGTTGGTCAAAAAATTTATTTCCTGAGATCATAGCGCGAGCTCGGTTTTCTGTGCTATAGAGTGGGAACTGAATATGTCTACAAACCTCTGTATCAAAGATATCACACAAAGTCGTGCTTATCAAAAAGCCGATAACATTCCTTGGCATCACTCTCAGCTCAGCCCGCTTGAATATGTCCGACCAAGCGCCGGTTCCTCCCAAGTCGCTCCGAGGCCTCATCTCTCTTCACAAACAAGATATACCGCCCCACCAATACCCGCATTTCGGCACCGGTCGTCTGATTTATCATCACATTCAACGGCTAGGTCATCACCTCTTCATTCGTATCCATGCCATATTTCATCTGCTTTACAAAGGGCTGGACAAGGCACGTCGACGTCAAGTGTCGGTACGGATATCTGTACGCCGGGCTCCGGCCAACGAACTTCAGGATACTTTGATCATTCTCCACGTACGGATCGACTTCCCTCTTCTTCTGAGATGTTAGCATTAGCACAATCTTCCGGTCAATCACCCAATGAACTTGCGAAGAGGAATCATCGACGTGACATCCCTGAAGTCTGGGATAAACTAGCATTTTGAGGAATGGAAAGCTTGACACAACAACTTTTTCACCATGATAGAATCTTTTATAGCACTCTGGAACAAACCTTGTTTTTCATCTCTTCCATTCTTCATTTTTAAATATTTCATTTTAGTCTCATTGGGTTTTGAATGATCATAGGTTGTTTATAGGATTTAACTAAGTAGGCTTTTGTCGTTATCTCTCTGTTAGAATACATAGTTGGGTATGATGTAATTAATTGTGTGAATATGGGAAGGGACTATAAATAATCTGTGCATAAAAAGATATCGTCAGTCTGCAAGTGTCCCTTTTGTATGTGGTTTGGGGGATGATGCGTTGTTTGTAGGGTTGATCTCAGAAGGCTTCTGTAGTTATCTTTATGTTAGAATAGATAGGAATAGATAGCTATGAATGGTGTAATTAATTGTGTGAAAATTAATATAGGTAAACATGGAAAGGAACAATATGATATGAGATGTGCGTAACAAGACATCTGGCAGTCTATAAGTGTCCGTAGATTGGTCACGATCAGCTGACTGCGTTGAGCGGTCTTGGTCAAAGGAATGTAGCACTCAAGTGACTCTAAAGTTTAGTTGATCTATTTTGGACACAAAATGGTGTGTTCAGACTTTTGCACTTCTTGTCTAAATGTCACCGCAAGCAGACAAGGTGGTCCACTACAGAATGGGTGGCTACATTCAAAGAAGCTGTGCAATCACACGTGATTTTTCAGTAGCACCAGGTTCAATGAGCATCAATTGCTCAAAAATGCTTTGACCACTTGGAACTGCTTGTGAAACTTGAAGCTCAACACAATTGGAAATTAGACCAATCTGGTCTTGGTTGTGAGATTCTTAGAAAGAGAACAAGGGATTGAGATAAACCAAGAGGATATACCCATCATGTAAGAAAAATTGAAAACACTCTACAAAGATGTCAGGGTCAATGACAATCTTGGTGATGGGGATTGAAGCTTTGCTTTTGTGACAATGGTAGAAAATATTCATAGGACAGAAGGGGCCCTATCAATGGTGCCACTATACTATACTAGTATATAGTTGGGTATAGTATAGTTTGAATTGTGCTATACTATACTCAATATAGTATAGTTGGAAATATACTTTACTCAACTATACTCAGTATAGCATCAATTGATTATTGGGACGGAATGGAAGAAGAGAGTGCTATAAGGCTAGCATTAGTGCTAGTCTACCCAAACAAATGAGAATTGTGACAAGTTGCATTTAGAGAGAAAAAGGTTCTAACCTATAAGGCTAGCGTTAGTGCTAGTCTACCGAAACAAATGAGAATTGTGACAAGTTGCATTTAGAGAGAAAAAGGTTCTAACCTATAAGGCTAGCGTTAGTGCTAGTCTACCGAAACAAATGAGAATTGTGACGAAAAGAAAAGCACACAAGTTTAGAGAAAACACATGAAGTTCTATATGAAACAAGTTTGACAAGGCGTTTACATTATGACGAAAAGGGAAATGGCAAAACCCAGCTAAGATCACAATTATCCTAAACATTCGGACTAGTCCACAACTACATTCCTAATTCTTCTAAACTGGCCTAACCCAATATAGGTGAGATAAGGTTAAGTATGGGCGTCTACGACACCACCCCAGTCTGAACCGTAACACCCCCCCTCAACCTTTTAGAGGTTAACAACTAAAACATGCAAATGTTGCGCTTGTGAGTTTGGAAGATAATGTTACCTAATGCCTTAGTAAGTATATCAGCTTTCTGATTAGGTCCATCTATCCATTTGATTTTCAAGTTGCCATCAAAAATTTGTTCATTCACATAATGAAACTCGCGCGCTACATGGTGAGATCTCTTCGTAAGATGTAAGTATTGTGCCACTTTAATGGCTGCTGTGTTGTTGCACTTGAGGGTTGTTATATAGCTATTCTTGAATATGTCTTTGAGTAAGTTTTGAATCCAAATTGATTCACAAGCTGCGGCTCCTAGAGCCATATACTCTGCGTGACAAGTCAATGTTGCAACACATCCTTGACGTCTTGATGCCCATGAAACTAAATTACAATACAAAAATACCGCAAAACCATGTGTTGACCTTGAAAATCCCCCCCCCAGTTAGCGTCACAAAAAGTCACTAAATCATTTCCTTCTTCCATCTTCCTAAACCATATACCATCTTCTTTAGTACCACTAATATATTTCAGCAAGTGTTTTAATGCAAGCCAGTGACTTTCGTTCGGTTGGGAAGAGAACCTTGCCAAATAATTAACCGAGTAAGAAATGTTGGGTCGAGTCCCAATTGCCAAGTACGACAGTGATCCCAAGACCACAAGATATGATGAGCCATTAAGTCCAATAGCATCCTTCTCAGATGAGTCCAGTTGCAGGTAGCTATCATGGGAGTAACCGTTTTTGAATTCATAAACCCTGCTGATTCGAGGATGCTTTGAGTAAGGTGAGGTTGCGATAATAAGATACCCTTTGGGGTGTAGTTGATTTTGATTCCGACAATTTGTTGAAGGTTATTGTTCCAGGTGATTTGGAAAGATTCAAGGAGGGATTGATGAATAAAGGAAATGATATCAAGAGATGAACCACAAATGACCCTGTCATCTACGTGTATCCAAAGGATTTCAATACTGCCTTTGTAATGTAATACGTATAGACTTTGGTCGTTTATACAGTACCTACAGCCCATACCGGAGAGCACTGATGAAAAATGCTTCCACCAGCATCTGGCAGCTTGTTTCATACCGTACAGAGCCCTTTTGAGGAGAAGAACCAAGGTGGGTGAAGAGAGGGAGATGCCTTCTGCCGGTTTGACGTATATTGTCTTGTCAATCGGGCTGTGTGGGTAGGTGGCCACAATGTTGAATCCACGGATATGCCAACCTTTGTTGACAGTGATGGAAAAGATGATCATGAGGGAGGTGAATTTGGCTGTTGGCGCAAAAGTATCAGAGAAGTCAATACCTTCCCTCTGGGTAAATCCTCTTACTACAAACCTGGCTTTTTGTTTGAGGATATTGCCGTTCGAGTCAGTTTTTTCTGAAAAAACCCACTTACTTGACATGGTCTTCTGGCCTGGAAGAAGACCAACTTCTTCCCAGACCTTCAATCTAATCAGCATCTCTATCTCTTTCTTACACCCTTCCTTCCAATCATCCTTATGTTCACTACTCATGGCCTCTTGATAGCTCCTCAGCAGTTGGAATGCTATTCTTGCTGCTTTTGCTTGAAGAATTTGGATATTAAGATCTTGCTCTCTAACTGTTTGAGTAAAGCTTTTGTCGTCCAAAAGATAAGAAATAGACAATGATTCAAACAAGTGTTGAAGTTCTTGATGAGCTGAGAGAACATCAGTTGATAAAATTGTTTCAAGAGATGTGTTTGATTCATTGTTGGTTAAAGAGTGAGAGCTATCAGCAGGGGTAGGAATTGTCTTCTTGTCAAGCCACCTAGCATGTGCCAAATCAAGAAATTTTTCCGTTGATGGGTTCCAAAACCTCCATCCCTTTCTTGCTCCTAAGTAACCCACAAATCAACACTTCACCGCTCTATCATCCAATTTCTTGCGTTTCTCAACAGGTACATGTACGAATGCCTGGCTTCCAAAAATGCAAAGGTGATCAACTTGAGGGGCGAATCCAAACATAAGTTCAGTTGGTGTCTTGGAACCTGTGAGGGCATGGTGCTCTAATGAGGACTCAAGGCTCACTAATTGGGTAATGGATGGTGGGTAATGTTTGAAAATTAACTTTTTATATTTCAATTATAAGGTAATTACAAACAAAATATATGAAAGATATAGAAAGAGGAAGGGGGACTGGTCTGTTTGGATAAACCCAGACAGACTACAGTTAAATGACTCCTTAAAAGGAGGTTGTATTTGTAATCATAATAATTTTATAATTAATGAAAACTGGATCCAAGGTTTTCCTTCAAACCTTAATTAACAGAATGAAGAGTGAGGTAAATATCACTAGACTGGTTGTTCTTAAAGTCACCAACTTGGGGTTGTTCTTAAGGTCACCAACCTAAAAGAGTTTCTACTTGGGGGAAGGAGAGGATCCAGAGGGGAGTGAAGAATTGTATTACCTACTTTTAATCAGGAAGCTGATTAAAGTTGATGAAGCTTATCACTAGTCTTATTTTATATATAAGACTCTTGATTTTTTACTTCAGTTGAACTTGAATTGTTCTTTAAAAGTAGTGGGTAATTATTGCTTAGAGAGAAATCTCTGAAGGCTGAGAGAGGAGGGGTTTATATACTCTCCTCTCTAAACCTAACTGTAGTGATATTTGTTATTATCACTATATTGGTTCAGGGTTACTCATTACTAGTTGTTAATGATTATTACTAGTAGTGATTGGTTACATATACATATTATATGTAATATGTAATATTAGCTTTTTAACTCTTGACACTGAGTTATAAGGTGACTTATTACATATACAGGTACACTTAAAACAACATGTAATATGTAATAAGTGTTTTGGTATATTGTATTAGATGTTACATACAGTTTAAGCTCAATATTGTACATGTAATTAATTTTATACATAAGGTTTCTAATGTTACAAGTTAGTTTTGGGTACGTATATATGTACTCAGGGCTGACAGAACCAGTGTTTGAGTTTGGTGTTTTGTTGTGCAAATCGGTAGCTGTGATGATAGCAAAACCCCAGAACTTTTGAGGGAGACCCGAATCCTTGAGTAATACCCTCATACCTTCCTGAACCGTTTGATTTGCTCGCTCAATGTTGCCATTTTGCTCATGAAAATAAGGAGGGGATGTTTGAACCTGAATACCCTTTTTATTGAAGTAAATTTTTATTGCGTTATTGATAAATTCTCCACCGCTGTCAGTGCGCCAGTGGATGACCTTCTTGCCAGTTCTTCTTTCAGATTCTGCAATGAAATTTTTGATGTGATTAGTTGCTTCATTTTTTGTCCTCAGCAGGTATGTTCTCATGAAGGTATAAAAGACATCTCGAATCTCTAAAGAGTATTGCAAGCCTGATATGGTTTTTACCAGGAATGGTCCACAAAGATCAGCCACCACAAGTTGCAATGGTCCGTCATAAGACATGAGTGAAGGACCAATTGTCAATGTTTTTGTGGATTTGGAGATGGTGCATTCCTCACATGGAACAGTTTTTGTAAGTTGTTCAGGTAAACCTACACATGTCTGTTCACGGATAAGTTTGAGAAGTGTTCTGTCATTAGGATGACCAAACCGGCAATGCCACAGCATGAAATTGCCAAGGACAGCTGCAGTAGTGATTGGATTGATTATTGCCTTAAGAATCCACTTTCTTCCTGAACGCTGCACAGTTAGTGTTCTTGAATTGTTCTTCCAGAGCTCAATACCATGTTTTGAATTTTGAAAAGTGTCACCTTCCTCTTCAAGTTGGATACCCAACAGAAGATTATGTCTTAAGTCCTCACAGTAATACACATTGTTCACGTTCAAAAACTCGTCTGAGTTTGTTACATTGCAAATTCGAACACTCCCTACAGCAGTAATAAATGATGATGATGACTTGTTTGTGATTTTAACTGGTAGAGGGGAAATATCGTGAATCATTCATATTAATAGCGAACATGCAATTCAGACAAAACCTGACAAAACCTCCACTCATTCCCCTAACAACTGCGAGTTTAGACCAGCCGAAGTTACAACTTCGCAATGATTACTTTCTATCTCCATAGTACCTTGATATGATCCATGCAATCTATTTATGATGCAAATATCTCTGAATTATTTGACACAATTTCTCTATGAACGAGTTTCTCTGAAACCTTTGTATGACCCCAATCAAACCATTGTGATCCGCGTGTCTGGTGCTTTCATCCGATTTACTTAAATCTCACTTCCTTCCAGATCCAAATACTTCCATTCGGAAAGGTATGTCCTGATTCTAACTTGACCAAGTCCCCTTCGAGGCCTACCAAAAAAAAAGAGTCAAACGGGCATGCACTTTGATGTCCAGCTCTGTTCACAAAAACCAAATCTCAACCTTTATTTATTTTGATGATTGATTGTTTTATTGGATGATCTGTGTTTACCGATTACCTTGAAATCAATCGACCAACCACACATTTAATAGGTTTCACTAATCGTAATCACACCGGATGGGCCAAAAGTTAATCGTGTCGTCTAAAGTGTGAAGGATCAGGGTACAAAAGCGAATCTAGTGATTCATAAATTACCGCGAGATATTTATTCTCTCTCTTTACCACCATTGGCTGAGTTTGATTCTATGAGGTATGTCTCATTCTTCTCTTTACCAAATCACATTCAACAAAGTCTGATTTTTTACTTCTTTGGTTTTCAGGGGGACTTTGAGTACTAGCAAGAGATTGGAAGATGTTGAACATGTTGGAACATTGAATCGACTGGTTACTTGTTGTTTTGCTTCTTTATCTAATACTGATGTTGACCAACGTTTGTCGGCTACACAAGCTGCAGTTCAGACAATGAAGGTTTTAACAGCTGTTCCTAAGTTAGTAGACCCTGTGTTCCGGAGCCATTCTCACTTGATTTAATCACATTGGTTGAGTTCTTTCACTTCCAAATCATCATTTTAATACTAAAATCATCACTAATATTCTGCCTTCCACTTTTTCTGTTTCATAGATGAAACGACAAGAAAGCTTCAGAAATACGATTGTAAGCTTAGGTTGGAATAAAGCAGCTGGTGGTCGTGATATCGAAGCTTCAAGTCGAACGAATTTCTCAGGTTTGGCTATCAATCGGGCTTGCTCAAGATATCAAGCGTAAGTATCAATTTGAATGCGTCTGGAGATTTTGTCAGAGAATTGAACGTGATTTATATGCGATAGGTTTGTAGAACTTTTAAAGGTTAGAGATAATACTTCAATCGATACTTGTATACCTACATGGGATATGTAAGTCTCTATCTATCATTGACTATCGTGAGATTCGCCATTCTGACCTTTAAGTCTATGTTCTTCTCTTTGATTTGTTTTACAGAAATTTGGCTTGGAGGACTCATCAATTGAAGGGTCTTAATTATAGTGATGCAATTTTTGAACATCTTGGAAAGGTAGTCAATCAGTTGAGTTCACTTTACTCTTTGTATCTCGCGTACTAGGATTTATACTTACCCTGGATCATTGGCAAAACGTATAGTTTTACTGAGCAAGTTTTCGATCAGCATACACTTACGGCTTTATTCGAATCCACCTCTAAAGCTTGGGAGGTATGTGAAGATACTGACCCGGATCAATGATATATTGCAATATTGCTTAAGATTTCGCTTCTTAATTCCTTGCTTACCAACAGAAACTTTACGGTGTCAGTTATTCGCAATACCCAGCCCCCGAAATCGTCTTTGTTAAACCTGAACTGTTACGCCAATCAAGACTTCAGCTTTTGGCTCGTGCACCTTCTCCACCACCCGTCTATGTACCAGATAGCAACAGGGAGGATGGATCGGTGGTCGCCCCTCCACAAGCGGTTTGCTTTGTGATCGATGAATCTCGACCTTCGATGACCGGCAGTCAAAGATCGAGACCATCCTATGAGCATGACCAACAATCAACTATAGGATCTGATGGTTCAAACTATTCTGATGATATAAGACCTTATCATCCAGATACAAAGACTCAAGGAGCGCAAGAGATAATTGCTAAATCGATCTCTGCAACACAGAATATAAAATCATCTATGCCAGAATGTGCGGTCAAGAATGTCACCGATTTATCAATTGTCTCGGAATTACCCACAAGTAAAACTTCTAATCAAACAACGGTTTCAAAACCTGAAAGTGCAAGAAAGATTAGATTTGAGGATGAACAGTCATCATTAAGACCGTCACCTAAATGAAAGACTTCAGGTAATTCAGGAATTATTCCAATCATAGTGAAATCAACTGCTTCTGATTCATCAAAGAACGAAGATCTTGGTGTACATTCACCTGATCCAACCAACTCAAGCTCTACAAATAAAAACAATCATCAAGATCTTCCACTCGTTTGATCTAAAAGTACTAGACAACAAACCCCTTCACCTAGAGCTACGATGATCATCACAAAGGGTGAATCATCTGGTGAAGAAGAAATGAAAAGAAGTGTATCTGATGATCAAATTGCTTAACCAAATCATATCAATGAGGATCCTGGTGCTAATACTTTTTCATCAGTCGATTCAAAAAACATACAAAGAACATCCAAACCTGCTTATCATACTGGATTTGGATGGAAAATCAGGACAATCTCGATCTCAACCAAATTATTTCCAAACCAATTCATGATGATTAATTAAGTTCTTATAATATTTCTTCATTAAGTCCTTTACGTTCATTTGATCCTAAATTCACTCCAATCACCTCTGATGATCAGCTATCTCATTCTGCAATCGCTTTGATTAATATCAATTAACTTCAAAGATGCTGGAGTTTTGACTTTTCAAACGGCTTATTGGTCTTACCTTATTGTGTTGCTCATTCGGTTAGTCATTCATCCTCTTTTCTACAACAAGAATCCGATTGTTTTCTGAAATTGACCATTGGTGTTTTTTCTTCTTTTTTGATAGTCATTTACGTGATGTTTTGGAAGAAAGATATTCACCTAACTCATATGCACATCTTATTCCAAAAAATGGTTCAGATTCCAGTTCATTCTTTACGAGAAAAGTTAAGTCTAGACGAGAGAAAAGTTAAGTCTAGATGAGATATTGCTTTTCAAGACCAGTTTTGGGTTCACCAGCTTGAGATTACACTCTTAGATTGTACAGCCGGAGATAATGGAATTGGTTTTGAATATACTCATACTACTACCCAATCCTTAAACATTTCATCTTATAATTATTTAAGATTTGCTCAATCAAGTAGAATATGTACCGATCCAGTTGAAGAAACTTCAATTCAATTGATATCAGTTCAGCAAGATCAAGAGATGATGGTGGAGTGAATTCAATTACCATCCAAACTGGAAAATTAATTTCCAATTCTTTAGGTACAGAATATGCCTTATCAATCAGTCAGTTTTGCCACCAATTTCACTACATCTCCTTCTTTAGTTGTTACGGGTTCATTGGTCATTTCAGATGAATTGAATCACTCTTCAATTGGATTCGGTCCAAGATTAAGTGATGCAATGGTAAGAACTTATAAACAGAATGATATGAAAGATTTAGAAAGTTCATTAAGAGACACAATTGCAGAAGGTCAACCTAGAAAAATGAGAGCTTGGAAAAAGATTTTGGTGGTGGTGGAAGGATGTTATAATATGGAAGGTTTGATTCTTGAGTCACCTAATCTGTTGAGATTGAAAGAAAAATATTATATCAGGTATGTAAGTTCTTCACTTTTTCAGATGAACTTTTTACATTATCTCAATTGACAGTCTCATTTATATCTTGATGAAGCTCTCAGACCACAAGGACAAGGTGTATGTGATTACTTTGGAATTGAACCCAGTCGAATTGATATCTTGATAGGAACCCCAACCAAATCACTTCGAGTCAATTTTCTCAATCTTTTTCAATTCACTTTGAATTCACTGACTGATTTATAGGCCATTGCTATTTGCAGCCCACAAGAGAACCATGTAGGCGCTGCCAAAACAGCGCCTACATGGGTGTTTCCCACGAAAAACCGCCTACATTTATGATGTAGGCGCTGAAAACCATCTAAAATGACGCCTACATGATAAACAACCCATGTAGGCGTCATTTGGTTACGCCTACATTCAAAATTTCAGAATGTAGGCGTAATTTTCGAGCACCTACATATCTAATTTGAAATGTAGGCACTATTTTTGAGCGCCTACATTCAATTTTCAGCTCAAATAAGCGCCTACATGCAGTCTTGCATATGTAGGCGCTCCAAATCCAACATCTACAACTCCAGACTGGTCTGACGGCTAATGAAGAAGAAGTTTCAAGTTAAAATGAGAGTATTGGAAGATGGAAAAAGCAGTTCGGAGTTGAAATGAGTGTATCAGAAGATGGAAAAAGCAGCTTGGAGTTGAAATGAGTGTTTTGGAAGACGGAAAAAGCAGTTAAGCATATTGAAGATGAATATGCTCTTTTCAACTCTGAAGTGAGTGTATCAGAAGACGTAAATAGCAGTTCAGAGTTGAAATAATCTACTTCTTTTTCCGCTTCTGATACACTCATTTTGACTCCAAACTGAGTTCAGAGTTGAAATAATTTACTACTTTTTCCGTCTTCTGATACACTCATTTTGACTCCGGAGCCACTTTTCCGTCTTCCGATACACTGATTTCAACTCCAAACTGCTTTATCCGTCTTCTGATACACTCATTTTGAGTCCAAACTGCTTTTTCCGTCTTCCAATACTCTCATTTTGACTTGAAAATTGTTCTTCATTACCCTTCAGACCAGTCTGGAGTTGTAGTTGCCGGATTTGTAGCGCCTACATATGCAGGACTGCATGTAGGCGCTTATTTGAGCTGAAAATTGAATGTAGGCGCTCAAAAATAGCGCCTACATTTCAAATTAGATATGTAGGTGCTTGAAAATTACGCCTACATTTCATTTTTTGAATGTAGGCGTAACCAAATGACGCCTACATGGGTTTTTTGACATGTAGGCGTCATTTTGGATGGTTTCCAGCGCCTACATCATAAATGTAGGCGCTTCTTCGTGGGAAACACCCATGTAGGCGTAATTTGGCCAGCGCCTACATGGTTTTCTTGTGGGCTGCAAATAGCAACGGCCGATTTATATTGTAAAATTTGGAGCAAGTGAAGGATATAAAGCAGGAAACCAAGTAAGTCAAGAAGCCAAGAGATGATCCAACACTTGCAAAAACATGACATCCATCCATTTATGCCAAAACACTCTCACCTGCAGTCACATCACATATAATTAGGTCATTGATTTCAATCATGAGATCTGGATAGTGGATCATACTGACGGGTGAGTTGTCTTTGATATTTTAACCATATTTTTTGATGTCTAAATAATCAATGATCAAACAACATTTTTTGTATGTTCTAGGCTCTTGAATTGTAGAATTGTGTTCAGAAATCAGCTATCACCTCTGAGAAAGAATCAGTAGCACATGCCTTGAAGCAATGAAATGTTTCACCTCCATCTTCTTCAGATACTGAATCAATGAAGAGGATGAAAACTCAGCTATACTGGAGCATACCGCTTTGAACAGCTCCACTATAAGCTCTAATCTGAGACGCCATCATGTCCCTCACCATCGGACCATATCCTCAGCTATGTCTGCTTTTGGACCCAGCTTGCAATATCAATAAAACAGCTCTCTATCCGATGATGGGATTGTCATCCTCAGCATTTGTGAACTGCCTCATTTTCTTGGCCTCCAGAGAACTCAATCAAGTTACTGTTGCTACTGCCGCAAAATGAATTTGCAAGCCAAGGTTGAAAAAATTCCCAGACCAAAGGCCCCTCAGCACATTTGACTGAAATTTTCAACTCATACTTTGATATCTGATTTCTGACTTTGATTCTCTCTTCAGCACAATAAACATTCTTGTGATTTTTTTTTTGAATCAGAAGCTATCATTGATTGAGTTGCATTTGGTAAGAAATTAAAAAAAACATTCAAACCAAACTTGTTGACAGAGTTGACCATTGTTCATTGCTGATTTTCAATCTCACTTGCAGATATTTATCTTTGCTACTGTGTTTATGAATGGCAGATTGGAAATTAGGACTGCTGTATCATAACTGCAGTCTGCCATAAGTTAGAGAAAAAAACCTTTATTTGTGATTTGTCTTGAAATGAGGATTTTTGGAATCTGTCTAACAATCATCAAAGTAAGCACACCAGGAACAGTACATCAATACCAACCTTTGGCTCATTAACAGCATGGTTTCATACATCATCTCTACACTATTGATGCTGACCATCATGTCAATAGACTATAGAAGTATACCCTTACAATCACACCCCTTCTTTGAACCTATGTCCAAATCAATCAGTCGCAAATCCATCAACATCTATCAATTCTACATCTTTCTCAATTGGTCCCAGACAATCATCATCACTCTCAACAAGACCTGTCTATTCATCACCTTTCCACCTATCACCTATCACATATCATTTTCAATAATCTCAAACTGATGGACTGACAATTGATAACACTCAATCAAATCTATCTAATCACTTATTAAATGGGAATGGTGATAGTGTTGAAAAGAGCAGAAGTAAGATGCGATGATGGTTGCTTATAATTAATTTTTTTAAAAATAGGTTGAGTTATACGTAGTATCTTAATTTTGAATTGCATATCATTTGCACAGGTACTCAACTATCTGAATTCCAAGTGGTCTTCAGAGATTGAATGTCAATTTTCCTTATTTTGTAGCTATCAATTTAGCCGATATCTTTTTGACAGAGAGACTACATCTTCCAAGAATATGCTATCTAAATGATTAGTATCACAAACTTCCCAATCAAAATACTGTGAATGCTTGCATTGATGTGGATAACCAATGTTGCTTAAACTTTTTGATTAAAAAATATCATCAGACTTCAATTAAAACCACAAGATTTGAATGAACCACATCATGCTTGAGTTGCTCAATGCGCTGACATTGATGACACAGATTTATTAATTGTTTTTGAATAGCATGATAAGTATCTCCAGTATTTTGTCAATTATCATGAGTGCGGCGCCCGCCGCCAACTCCAGTGTTGATGAAGTATGAACGGTCGTTGAACATGTGATGTGTGGCACCAGTGCCAAAAATGATGGTAGAGGGGTCGAGGTCAGTATCTAGTTGAGAAACTACGATGTGCTTGACTTCCACGCACCCAGTGATGTCGATCTCGGCAAATTGTGGTTCTACCACTCGAGTATGTGATGTCGAGGCCGCTGGCGATGAGCACCTCTTGTTCTTTTCATCCCTAATGAAAGAACGACATTCCTTCTGATCATGTCCCTTCTTCTTACAGTAAAAACATTTTGATTGAGACCTTACTGACTTCCTCACTACTCCAACAGATAAACCTTCAGTGATTCCTGAAGATTCTCGCTTTTTCTCCACATCTGCCGCTCCAAGTGCCCAGGTCATGTTGGAAGAGCTGATGGATGTCATGGGATTAGATTGTACGACGGATTCAAAAGTGTGTGTTACGTTGGGGAAACCACTTGGCATACTGGTTGCCAATACCGCTGCAAAACCGTCATCACCAATCCACATTCCAGATTGTTCCAATTTGTGTCAAATTCCTGAAACTTTAGCAATGTGAGCATTGATAGTTGTAGTTGATGGATCATAAACAGTGTGATGAAGTTCACGATACAAAGAAATCCGACTGGCATAAGTTTGTCCTGAGAATTGAGCTTTGAGATAGATGTAGTGTTCTGATGGGACATATGAAACTTGATCTAATCTTAAGCTAAGATGTTTGTCAATGGTCCAATGCATAAGACTGATTACCCCTTAAGTGTAGTTGTTGCTCCAGTTTGGTAAAGTTGGAACAGCTCCTGGTTTGATATATGGACCACAGCCAGCAAAAGATTTGAGGAGACGACGGAAATCAGCATCCCAGATGTTGAAGTTGCTTCCGTCTCCTGCCAAAGAGGTGAGTCTGTCAAGTTTGATTGGGCATTGTTTCCATAAGCTATTGAAAGATTGATTGTTACCGTTGTCATTGGCAGTAGTGAGAGTTTGAAAGATATCTTGAATATTTTGAACGTTTTGTTGTGCTACGTTCTGTTGATTTTGATGAAGGGATTGGCTCAAAATCAGTGGTTGTTGGTTTCCGACTTGAGTTTCAGGAGTGTTGGCCACTTGGCCACTTCCGGCTGATGGTGCGGTGTTCTGGATACCTTCCATTTCAGGTGCCAAGGTAGATTGGTCAGAATTTGTTGTGGAATTGTTGAGATCTTCAATTTGTGAGGTAGTATCACTATTGATATGTGTTCCACTGTTTGCTGTTTCAAAAGAGTCTTTGTTTATATCCGGGGGTAAAGTATAGCTCATAACCTATTGGGACGGAATGGAACAAGACAGTTCTATAAGGCTAGCATTAGTGCTAGTCTACCAAAACAAATGGGAATTGTGACGAGTTGCATTTAGAGAGAAAAAGGTTCTAACCTATAAGGCTAGCATTAGTGCTAGTCTACCGAAACAGATTAGAATTGTGACAAAAAGAAAAGCACACATGTTTAGAGAAAACACATGAAGTTTTATATGAAACAAGTTTGACAAGGCGTTTACATTATGACAAGAAGGGAAATGGCAAAACCCAGCTAAGATCACAATTATCCTAAACATTCAGACTAGTCCATAACTACATTCCTAATTCTTCTAAACTGGTCTAACCCGATAATACGTGAGATAAGGTTAAGTAACTGGGCGTCTACAACGCCACTCCAGTCTGAACCATAACATTGATCAACTATACTTGGACAAGGGCTGTACATATTTTCCATCAGCTTGTTCAACTATACTGCACAGGCTCATTGAGAACAGAAATCTCAAGTAGAACAAAAGGGTAAAAGTCCCCTTGATTTTGATTTCCAGTGTGAATACAAACCATGAAAGTGTGGCCTATTGATCCTTTAGTCCTTTAGAATTTAAAGCTAGAGGTGCCAGAAAAGTTACCACAGGGATAACTGGCTTGTGGCAGCCAAGCGTTCATAGTGATGTTGCTTTGTATAGTATGGTGCAGTATAGTGGCAGCCTTGGCCCTATGCCCATATATTGATGTATTTCCTTTGAGGTAAACTGGAATAACACCTGATGATGCAAAGTTTGTGAAAGTGGTATGTGTGATCCCTTGACAAAGTTTTCTGATATATTATGAGCTACTATTTTGCATTAAGTCTGCTATAAAAGAATTCTTGACATTCTTGAAGAAGGAAAAGACTTCAAGCCCTTGATGGGTGATGGTACATTATGAATATACAACTATGATATCAAAGTCTCAGTCAGAACATCAAACAAATGAATGGGATTTAATGTGATTTACAAAAAGGAAACAAGCACAATTTTAATATGAATGAATTCCCAAAATACCTGACTGTGAAACAGAGAAGAGAAAACAACAGCTTTGTAAACCTGATCAAGGAGCCTCCCAATCTTCTGTCTGACGGTGTGACCTCCCTTGGCAGTTCAAATCATTCAAAACAAAGTAGCTTGATTATTTGTATCTATGTCTTACTACCATCCTATTGAGGCTTGTTCAAAATAACACCAGGTACTTGTGCAAGTTCTGGTAACAAGCAAGATGAGACAAAGTCTAATGAAGGTAGACTTGAGATGATCAAATGAAGCCCAATCTAAGAAAGAATATTGTAGCACAGCAAATAGTTTGAGTTTGATAGAGAAAGAATAAAGATGTAAGAGAGAATCTATTCTATATGTATATGAATCTGAAGAACTCAATAGTCGTATCATGTTGTAAGAGAAATATAACCATAATGTGCATCTGAGTAAATTGCATCTATATGCGTCACGCACCTATAACATGATCACTTCATGGTCTCAATTGCTCACAGCTCATTCATACCCAGGAAAGTTTACAACGACCAACAGGCGTGAATATGGGTCTGGGCTTGGAGAGCCCAAATACACCCCCCTAATTGGTACCCGAGTTTTGTTTTTGTCAGGTTTCGGGCTTTTCCCACGCGGCCATGATCATTTTCCGAGTTTTGAAAACTGCAACAGGTTAATACGGTGGCTGTGGAGCGCCAAATGAGTCAAAACCCAGAAATTGAAAATTTTCACTAAATTTCACATGAAATACTCGCGACGGCCTGATCAAACAGGTTCCGACCATGGGTCCGTTCAGGTCCGTTCCCCTCGTCCACATCTTGCACAATGATCCTTTTCAAACAACTTGTTGATGTACGTTCTGACTCAGATGGCAGCTCGTGGATGGCCATATGCCATCTGAGTCAAAATTTAATTGTAGTTTTTATGTTTTACACATGTCTCAACAAACAATCCTTCTCCGAGATTTTCTTTACTTCCTGTGTACACTCCATAGACTCTTCTTCAAATGTTATACGGTACTCTACACCTGCTTCCGACACGATGTTTGCTCTGCCTAGAATCACTTGTATTGAGGGCAGCCCTGTTAGACTCATCAACATCTCCTCTCAAAGGAAGAGCTTGAGCTCGCTTGATTCTTGGGGTCCCCTCTCGGAGGAAAAACGAGTCGATTCCTGTCGATTCTAGGAAACGACTCGTTCTCGTTTTTTTCAATGGGAGGGGCCTTAATGATAACCCAATACCTGTCTGATTCACCATCTGTATTGAAAACACGCGGATACGCGACTTCAAATTCTTGCAATTTGGCAATTGATTTGAATGCAAAAGGAGCAAGCTTGAAGAAATGTGAATTGAGACAATCATCAAAAAAAAAGAATCAGAGAAAGACTCCGGAAATGGTTGATTTGAAGATAAAATAAAGCTCAAGATCCAATTCAAAAACCAAGCCAAAGATAGTTTATCTTTTAGAATTGAAAGAACTCGCAGGAGAGCCTTCATCGAGCAAGATTTTTGATGCCTTCATGTCGTCTCTTTTTTCCTTTACTTTTATTTGCTACATTTTCAAGTTCGGGTTTGAGAAAAAGGGTTATGTCAATGATATCAGATGATCATTTGTTGTTCTAAAGTTTAAATGTAAATTTGTGCTGATGATATATGGCCGGACACTTGTACTTTTAAAGCATCCAAAACAGTCCTTCTTCTGGTCAAAAGACGGATGTGATCTATTGACACAAATGGCATGTCGGGGTAAAGCAGTTTACATCAAAGTGAAATTTGACTACACCACGGAGTGGTCCGGCCCATCTGCAGACTGGGACAAAGGCCGTCTGCAGACGGGCCTTTTTTTATATAGTCACGGACCGTCTGCAGGTAGGCGCTGGTCCCACCGTATGCAGACGGCCTTTCGAATATTGCCTGTAGCCAGCCTGCAGGCCGACTGAAGACAGGATGTAGAGGGTTGACTGCCGGTCTGCACCGGTTTGGGACCTGCTCGAGACCACTCACAGATAGTGCAAAGGCTCAACAAGAAGCCAGTGAGATGACTGCCAGCCTTGAAATGCGGCTAGCAGATGCTGTTTTAAATTAATCAAAATATAAATCTGTTATTGATAGCATGGTTTATTGGAACAGACACGTATAAGTATGATAAGATAAGTACATAATATGAAGATACAATTTGGGTTCCAATCAATCCCATTATCCAAACAAATTCATTTCTTCTATTGGCCAAGAATCAATCGATGAGTTTTCCAAAACATTTGAATTATCAATTTCAATTGATCTCCATGATGGGTTGGGGCAAGTGCAAATCAAGTCTTCTTATCTGGATTGGTCAATTTGATGATATGAATATCTTTCAAGACATCACCTGGAGAAGTCGATCGACTAAGTCATTTGATTTGTAAATATTCCTTCTGTAATTGGTGGACTGATATTATCAAGGATAAACTTCAGACATCATCACGGGTTGATTTTGATTCGAAGGTGAAGAAGATGAATGTACAGCCGGCAGTAGGGTGAAGAGAGAAGAATCCAACAAATTTGGTTGAGGCAAGCCGATATCGCTGAATGGAAGGTTGATGCAAATTCACAAGTTAACAAAGTTCTCCAAAAGTGAGTCAATCAAAGTGGACTTACATATGTAGTAGAACAAGACAAAAGGCGAATTCTAAACCAAAAAAGAAAACCAATCGTTTTCGACAGATAAAATCAGATCCAATTGAGGTACTAGATTTCCAAGATGAAGAGATATGTAACTCAAAGAACCAAGTTAAACTATGATTCAAACCTGATTCATTAATTTAGAAGAGTGAAGCATCAGGTGTTGGAGTAGAAGTGAGGACCTTTTAATTTTGGGATCATTGATCAAGTGATAAAGTTTAGAATTTGATTGAGATCGCGTCAGTTGAAGACCGATGATCATGAAGCGCACTTGAAGAGATTGATAGGTCGGGAAGCTTGATTGTTATCACTATCAGTGCTGACCACTCAACCCGGATTAGGTTAATTGAACGGTGTTGTCGATGAACGGAACAAAGTAAACAGGTTTGATGAGCTCAGGACCCGACCAATTGAAGTAATGTCATTTCTTAGAGAATTTGATGGAGAACATAGAATGTTGGATACCATCACCAGAGATTGGGTTCGGGTAAGAAGACTGATGGAGGCAAATAAGACTCAACGGGCGTGCTTGCACAAAGGCGTTTACAGAGGGTCACCGCTTTCCTTCGGGTGTGCTAAAAGCACAAAGGTGATTGGATACTTCGAAGATAAATAATCTTCAAAATTATATACCAAAAAGAGCAACAATAAATCTAAAAGACAAAGACCTCCTAGCCCTGATTGATGGCCGTCTTCTCCTAAGGTTAAAAATCCTATCATATTTAACATGTTTAGATAGTGTTTATGCAATACAGCTCTTATGCACTTTAAAAAAAAAAAAAAAAAAAAAAAAAAAGATCAAGCCGTATGGCTGATGCTGGCCTGCGGGCGGTGTCAAGTCAAGCGGCGGCCATTGCCTTTTTGCAGACTCAAATATACGCACACCAGCTGCAGTCCGACTACCAACGGTACTCAATCAGACTGCAGCCGGTATGTAGCCCGCTCTCACCGACCATTTTCAGGCCTCTTACAGGCCACTTGCAGGCCATTTCCCGGCCATTTCACGACCCCGACAACGCTCAGACCTCACCGACGCTTTTTCTGCTCAAGAACCACTCCGTGGTGTACAAGTCTGTAGCCGCTGCTGAGCCAATGTGCGAAGTTTTGTTTCTACCAACGGACTCGGTGCCGGATTTGGTATGACCGAGCTTTAAGAGGATGTTTCAGGTGAGATTTTAGCATTTTATTGTTTTGACTCATTTGGCGCTCCACAGCCACCGTAGGTTAAACAAGACCGTAGCTTTCTAGTACATATACTTTCACTTGAGTAGGAGCAGCGGTTTCGGGTAAAACCCGATGTAGAGACCCGGCCCCGGTATGTAGGAATCCGCTCAGGATCATCAAAAAAAATCAGGTTTTTTGCATTTTTCTCCTCAACCAGCACTCCAGAAAACTTGAGGCTGGCATCATAATATAGCCCTTCTTTGCCCGCACACAATGAGCTACTGTGCACCTCCATAAGTAGTGGAGTGTTGTGTGCACAAGCAAATACCCGAAAAGTGCGTTTTGTTAGGAGGGTCTGTACGCGCTTTCCAGGGTCCTGGTATTTGATTGAAGATCGAGTGGGATGATTACAATTAATGTAAAATACTAGGCATTGGGGCATATGTACAAGCAGATCTTGTGTTTAATGAACCCTGACAAATTTGTACGGATATATACAATGAAGCAACCTTGAAGGATACGTACAAACGGTTTATGAGGGCAAGAGAATAAGTTTTAAACAGTACATACAGAGTAAGATACAGGTGGTCAATTTGGAGAATATCCATCATGCTTTTATGCCTTCCATGCTTATGAGGATTTGGCTGGAGATTATGGGAAACTTGATTGAAAAGAGAATGTAATCGGGAGTGCGGCGTTGACCATACTAAGTATGGCGGATCTTGAAAGGATGCGCTTCAGTACCTTTATTTAGCGAGGTAAAAAGAAGAGCAAAAGGTGATTAACAGGTGGTACTGAAGCAAAAAAGATTCAACTTCTCTCTTACTGAACACCCAGTCATCCAATGAAAAATGGTCTCGCGGCGTAAACGTCAAGTATAGGTACTGTGATTTGGAGATGATCATTTTTAAGGTCAGCTGAGTTAACTCATCAGAAGTCAAGTAAAAGTTCAAGTTCACCTTGAATAGTTCGCCTTTTCGAGGTTAGGTGAGAGAAGCAGATATGTGTATTAGGGAGCTGGGTCAAATATGATGTATCCTTCCGAAAAAAACTTACCGAATAAGAAGGATTCTCTGATATTGAACAAATCCTTACCAAAACGTCAGTCATATACTATCATGAGGTTGATAACATCTTACTCACGTTTCATCCTTGAAGCCCCCTTGGGGGTTATTAACGTTGTACAAACCATGGTAACCCGCATCAGTTTTACAATGTGCTTCGAGAGCCAAAAAAATCTCCCAAGCTCGCTCTTGCCAGATGGAGTCACCCGTCAGTCGCCATGCATACCAGATACTTTCGACTACTTCTGGTCGCAAGATGAATTCTGGGTTGATGGCATATAGATTTTCATGGTATGAAAAACTCTGCAAAGAGGATTCAAGGATAAGCATATTGATGTTATCGTGTAATTCACTTGACTGACATCTGGCCCCAATCCGGTTTTGGTAGAATTATACGAATCATAACATGTTCCGGCCAATTTCAATCCTATCAAAAGCCCATTTTGTCAGCAAAGGCCGATCTATGTGATAGAGAAAGTGATGTACCGAGGTCGAAGACAGTTGCATTGTTTGTCAGCTTTGCTCCAAGCATCCAATTTCCCGCTAATTTGTGACATTGTAAGACAAAGTCGGATAAGAAAACAATTTGATGTAAACATGAACACAAGCTGAATGTTTACTCACGGGCAAAACAAGCAAGGTGAGTCATAAAATTTGAAATGCCACCCTCATTTGCAGAATACTCAACGAGGTAAGGATGTGCATCTTTGTGAGACCACTTGAGAAGGTGAGTAATGGAAGAATCTACGGCCTGTTGCCAGTCTGTAGAAGGAATAAAGGGGTCAGTCTTAATGAACTGCAAGACTTCTTTACATATCAGGTAGAAGACGGACAAGAGATGTAATCTACGGCATCATCACCAATCAGTTGCCAATATTTCACTCCGTACTACCCATTGATAATCTCATGTTAGATTCTGCGCTTCATTCCTTTCTTGTAAATCGACTGACCTCCAAGAAACTATCGACATTGGCTCCCCATCCCACCTTGTCTCCCCTTGGTGTTCCAGTGGCAGAATCCAATGTTTGGGGGTGCAAACCCGGAAAGACATGAGTGTTGTCTGCAAAACGGGTGATAGTGTCTGTCAACTTTTTGCCATGCACCAAAAATGCAAATCAATGATAAAAATGTTTACTCACTCATGATGTGGCGACTGGTTTTGTCTGCTAGGATACGGTGAGAGGAGTTCTTTGTCCAGTATGATAACCTGTCAAACTCAATAGTCAAAGAGCCTATATATGCCATCGATTGGTAAGCTTGATGGGACGTTATTTAATGCGGTGTACACAAGCTTACCCGCTTCTGCTATCGTGATAGTTTCCTGTTGGTTGTGCTGATTTGTGTCAAAATACATCCATGCAAAGGGAATAGACGAGTTTCCCATCCAGGCCGTCTCAAGTTTTTGGGCGATTTCTGTGGCCTTTTCTAGTAGACCTGGCTGACTAGCTCCTGTTAACTCGTAAACAGACAATATTCCTCCTATATACCTAATCGTCGTCTCGAAAACTGAAGTAGCCTGTCCTTTTACCTGTGATTTCTGGAAGTCAACGGTGAGTGTGTGCCGTATTGCATCATTCAAGCGACCCTACAGATGGCGGTGAAAAAATTTCGTGGTCAACTGTTTATGCCAAGTTAAATCAAATTAGTCTTTGCCCACATTGAGCCCCATGACGTAGAGGGTTGACATCGAGTCCACCAGCGTAGCGCCCCAGCCATTCCGCGGGTCCCGATAACTGCGTGTAATAGGGATGACTGATAGCCATTGATGAGCACAACTAAGGGTTTTCAGATAGTGCTGATCACACACTTTCATCGTGTCCCCAGGCGTATTTGACGTAGGAATCATAAGCTTTGATGAACGATTGCTTTATCTGCTCCTGACGCGTGCGATCCAATTCGGTTTGATTAGGTCCACGAGGCTGGAGAAGAGCAATTTTCCGAGAGCTTCGCCACCAATTTCTACTCGTGAAATATGAGTAGTGATATATCAGAGTCAAGCAACAGATGACAATGAAAATTAGCCGAAGTCTTATGCGCTTGCTTCGGGCCGTCAGAGGTATAAAGGCGCCCTCTTTTACGGTGGTAGGAAGGATTCTCTTTGTAGATGAGTCAAGACTAGAGCGCATCCTTGAGCTTGATGTAGTAAGTCTCTTGTCGGGTTCGATGTGATGTTCGATATTGAAGTGGGGATTAGAAGTCTTATGAAATGTGCAGTTCACCGTATGGCCAGGTCTTATCAAAGGCTACGATGTAAGAGAGGATTGCGAGCAGCGGCAAGTTGAGGGGCTTGCTGATTGGGTGTCAAGGCAGGTCGTGGAAGTTTTGGGATTGCATATATGGCGGCCCATGGCGGCAGTTAGCTCAATTGAAGCACGTTGCCAACGATACAAACGTGTTGCAAGGCTTGAATTACAATACATTTGTTGCGAGACGAGCTTTGGAACCTAAGGACCAGGTCGAGGTTTTTTAATCATCTCGCAATTGTTGCAACAGGTCCAATGACTTTTTTTACATGAAGAAACACAACTGAGAAAGAAAACAAGCAGGCACACTGTTTTACCAATGTTCCTAGCAGCCATACTTTCAGTGTGATCCGGGAAAACTTGAACAGGATCCGCAAAATTTTTGCCCGCGACTCCCAAGTTGCAGTACTTACAAATTTTAAGCCAGCGAGCAAAACTTGAGACTCATTTTTTGGGGTCTACTTGACCCCCCTAATGATTAAACTCAATGTTGCACCCATGGTGTAGTAGGCTATCTTGAGAGATTCAAGATCCTGTTTTTGTTTTTTGGTTTGTGTTTCGATTTTTTCTCTTTCTATTTTTGTAAATTTCTTTGATCGTAACCAGCAGTAACCAGAAGGTCCGCTACATTGTTATTTTATCTTCGGTCAACCTACACACTCAGTACTTACATACGAGGAACACAAGATGTTTGATTGATCATTTTTTGATGCATTGCTTCAAGTGCTGTTAGAGCCTTTTGGGTTGATCATTTTTCCCTTCTGAAAATTGATCTTTCATACTCAAAAGTTTTGAAAATTGTTTTTACATACTTTTGAATCATTCATCATCATCAATGTGATTGAGCAGAAGTCATTCTTATAAGAGTGAGTAGATTCCATAGATGGTGCACTAGTGGCATCAGCTGCACCTCCCCAGATGGAACCATAGGACTCCTGGCCTCAAAAATTCCTTTGTGTGCTCAGATTACCTGTTGATGTGCTATTTCTTCAATATTCCACACAAAGTCTATGCCCAGGTATGTCCCATGTGTAACACATTATGTTGATGGATAGCAGATTTGTTGGAAAGGATGGAAAACTTGCACAAGCTAGCACATAAATTTGAATCTATGATTATTCCACAAGTGCATAACAGATGAATGGGACCAAACAGCCACTCTCCAAATCTTTATGTTGTCCAATTGGCAAACCTGCATACTGGCTTTAGGTACAAACATTCTGGTTCATATTAAGTGTCCTACATAGCCTAACATAGCAAGCTTGCAAATGTCTTGCAGGTGGTAAAACCTGAAGCCTGCGTAGGGACTTGCACCAAATGTAGCCTGCCTGACATGAGAGTTTGTGAGAGGTTGTGAGATTTGGTAGGGGGGAAATGGACTCAAATAAAAATCTTTGCTATAGTTGTTACCATCAAGACTCAATGAGCCTTGGGTTGGAATCTTCAGACAAATTTGGAGATTTTCACAAGATTGTTTCTCATTTCATTCATCTCATCTGCCCTGTACATAGTCAAAATCATCAACATGGCCACATGATCTTGTTGGTTTGCATCAACCCAAAAATCAACTTGATCCAATCATGTTCAAAATCCTAAAAACCGGTTGGTGCAAGTAATTTTTGTGTAATAAAAAACAGCCAACCTATTCTAGAGCTTGATGATGGCAATCCAGTGCAATTTTCCAAAGTTGAATTACACACGGAAAAGGTGGTGAACATCTGTTTTTGGTGATTATGGCGGGTAATTTTGTAATTCCATGACCCAAGGCTTTTTGAGTCTTGATGGTAACAACTATAAGGGTGTGTTCACTTAAGAAATTTCTGACCAGAAATCACATTCTGTAAATTTTTAAATGCAAAAATGAAACATGCAACATCAAATAGACACTTTAAATTTTGCAGAATGTGATTTCTCACCAGAAATTGCTTAAGTGAACACGCCCTAAGTGCAGCTCTTTCAAAAAAATGACATTCCGATTTTTTTAAGGTTGCACTACAATTAATGACATAGCTCCAATCCATTCTTCAAAATTGTTCCACTCTTTCATCTTTATACATCATCGTTTCACTTATTCATAGTCATATGATGCCTTTTGTGAAGTACACAGTGCAAATCAAAGTGATTGCACTTGCTAAATTGATTACTGAACAACCCATCCAATCAATCAATCAGGATCTTACCGCCACAATCTTGGCCAAATCCTTTGGTTGATGAAAGGTCCTTTATGATCACACACATGCAGTTGTCAGAGACTCAAATAACTATCAAAAACAAGGTCAACCAATGTTGTACACCAATGAAGACCAAGAGTTCATGGTTGAACTCATTGAAGCAGATCCTACCCTCTTTCTTGACAAGATTCAACAAGCTATGTGCAATCACACTAATCTGCTTGCTGGTAAAGCCGCCATTTCAAACAAGCTGAAGGACAGGCTGTTCCTTACCGTCCACAAGGCCTCCGCTGTCAACATCAACCACTATCCAGAACCCCGGGCTGCATATTCTAGTCAAGTATGACATCTGCCACCCGAGTATCTGGTCTTTTAGGTTAGTCATTCTTTTCTTCTTCTTTTTTTATTGGATATTATACTGATTTTATTCTATTCAACATAACCATGTCAGGTCCAAGCAAGGCAAATGTCCACAAGCTTTGAAACAATCAAGAGCCAGCGTTCACTACAGAATGCTTGCTGCAATCTATGAATTAGGCCTACTGGTGGTTAATGCAAATGTTAATGTGTACCATCAGAACAAATTTGAAGCTTTCTTGAAGAATATTTTGGTAAGTGACTCTCACTTTCAAATTCAAATGATTATAAAAAACTGGTTGTGTTTATTTATTCAAGCTTCCTGTCATGGCTCCATATCCCATCAGAAACTCTGTCTTGGTGATGGATAATGCTACTACATATTCATTGCCGTGGAGCAATCAGACATCTATGCACTGAAGCGGGGGTAATGTTGGTCTACTTAACACCATGCTTGCCTGACTTCAACCTGATTGAGCACACCTTCAAGGTCGTCAAGGAAACCTTACATTGAACCCTGGATAAATTTGAGCGTTTACTAGGGTGATAAGCCAGGGTTGTACTAGCTCTTTTATTGTAAATATAGACAAGAACTTGTGGTTACATAAAATGTCATAGTATTATAATATCAAGTTGTACATGTCCTTATTCCTCAATGTGTTGTTTTCAAATTCCTTACAAAAAGTTGATGGTCAAGAAATAAAAAGGTAATTATACCCATTTCTCAAGACAAATCAAAAACAACACATTGAGAACTTGAATAAAGCTCACAGTAAAGAAGCAAAAAAGTTGATTGTACCCATCTCTCAAAGTGATTGACAAGGATCTTTGAGAAATTGAGGTTTATTGGTGGGATCTCAAGAAGGACCTAAGATTCACCTTCATTCTCTCATCTCAACACTCCTGATCAGGTTAAATTGTTGTTTGGGTAACAGTTTTGTTGATTGAACAACATGATCTTATTCCAAAGCAACCAAAAAACAAGCACAAATTCAGAAGGATGTTTCATTTATTTGATAGACCAATTTAGCTACAATAATATAGAGTATGATACTCTTTCACAAACTTGCTTCATATGATATCTTTTTCATTTGAGAGAGGATGAAGGCTACTTTCTCTGCTTTTTAAGAAAATCACAATACAATTTGGTGTTGTCATGGAGATGTAGAGCAGGCCCAAATTGGAAAGCAAACTCAGAAATCTTGGCAAAGTTAAGCTTTGGTGAAAGGAACATTTCAAAACTGGCTATGCCAAAGTGATGAAGTAGGTCATGAGATTTTTTGATTGGTTTGGTCAATTGAGCAGAAAGCAAGATACATAGTTTTCAAAGTCAAGAGGCAATCTGATTGGGGTGCAGGTGGTTGGTTGATGGGGTTATTGGACAAGGGAAATCCTCCAGGCAGAACTGTTGGTGTTTGATAGCTGAATGGGTTAGATTGAGTTTAGGGTGCAATATTCATCACAGGTTGGTTATCTTTGATTTTCTCATAAATGAAGTCAGGTCCCTTAGGTGGGCTCATCACCATGACACCCAGTGTTTTCAAACTATGTATTTCAAATTGAACAAAAGAAATTTGAAATATTGGAATTCAAAATCATTCTTTGGAGAAAAGAATGAAAGACTTACAAGTTCTGTTGCGGAGATATTGAACACAAAATGGGATAGATATTGCCTGGGTTGAGTCCCCAGGGTTGATTGTTCCCATACAATCCCTACCCCCAATCAAAACCTTGCCATACCTGATCACAAGATCTGTGTGGTGAGCCTGAACACTTGTTTTAACTCCAATACTCTGTTTCAAGACACAAAGTCAGTATTAAGATCAAAGTATGAAGCAGTAAGAAGAAAACTTACGTTCATTTTGAGCTCATTGTGTCAAGCAACATCGGACCCTTCCATATTCCCGTGCGCCAATGCTTGATTAAATTGCATCTCCTGTTGGGTCATTGCATTGAGATATGAGTCAAAAAACAGAAATTAGAAATGAAATGAATAATATTGTGATAAAGTCAGTTTGACTTACTCTGGAGTTGTTGTGTCCTGTAGTCTTTGGGTGCCCCATGATAAGAGGGAACCCAACATCTTTTCCCTTCTCAAGTTTTATCATTGCCTTGAATGCAGTGAAAGTTGATTCCATTGTCATCAATGCTATCAACTTCTTACCAAAAAATTTGCCATTAGTGAAGTAGCACTGGAAAGCAACGTAACCACATTCATCTGCTGCCTTGAGCAAGCACCCACACCCCAGGTTTTTTTGTTACAAAGTTTGTTAAGAGATTCATTCTAATTGTAGGGTGTAACACCTTAAACTTGAATCATGATATTGAAAGGTGGTCTGCCTGAATGATCACTGTAAGTTTGAGAAGTACTGTTTTGTCAATCATTGATAGAAAGTGCATTAGGGAATAAGCTCAAAACTTGACCTTGGTTGGGGTTGGTTTGGGTTTGGATCAGGATGAGTGGCTTGAGGTGCTGGACTAGGTGAGAGAGTCAGATCCACATCCACAACTCGACAAGATATCTGTTCCAATCTTTGGGTTGGATGTAAAATGAAGAGAGACTTATCAGAACTTATCACATGTCAAGTTTGCTGATTGTCCTCTTGAGATTCTACCATTGAGTTTATTCAACTATATTCATTGCCTACGGATGATGGCAATGCTGGACGGTTTTCAGGGTGGAGGCGGCATCAGAACTCTCAAAGCTCAAATTTGGCATCAAGGTCTATGTACACTACTTCAGTGTTGACACATTGACATTGAACCAGTGTACAATCCACCAAATAATGACCGGATCTAAAACAATAAAATCAAATCCTTTCAACCATCAAGATATTTTGATAAGACGGAATCAAACAATAAAAACTTACTTTTTGAGATGGTGAGGTGTGCCTTCCCTGCCACAATGAGGGCTAAGCCCCTCCGCTCCAGCTTGTTCCAATTTCTTGTTTGCACTAGCAAGACAAGAAATTGGTTGCTATTGTGAAAAAGAAAGAGATGAACAAACACAACTCACACATCTTGTAATGTTGGTTTTGCCTCTCCTTTGGGTCCCAATTGCTGTTTGCCTGGCTCTTGTGGCATACTCAACAGATTGGAAGGTAAGGGAAGGGTACCAATGATTGGACTGGTGGATCAAGGGCAAAGAGAATATCTGGTCAACAGCTCTTTGAACTTCAGCTCTTGATTGAAGCACATGCTTGTAAATGTAGCTGTATCAGTCATGTATCAAGTAATAAATAAATTTCAAAATCTTGACCAGCCAAGCAAAACTAGTTTGACTGTACAAGCTGTAGTCAACTTAATCAGGCTACAAAGCGTGCAAAAGATCAAATAATTGCTTTCTTTGTATGTATTCCAATGCACAACCTTTTGTATGGTTGTAACCAAACTTGAAAAAGTCCCTTGCAGGTGGTACAACCCAAAGCCTGCATAGGGACTTACACGCAATGTGGCTCTCCTGGCATGAGAGGTCATGAGATTTAATAGGCAAAAAAAGGACTTGATTAAAAAGTTTTGCAGCAGAAGACTTTTTCAAATTCCGCCTGGGGAAATTTCAACTCAGATCACACATATTTGGAGTTGTTCTGAAGTCTTCATTGATGCCCAAAAAGCATATTTTTGATTTTAAAGAATCCAAAGCAGAGGACGATGTTTCACAAATGAAGTTGTATGCAAAAATTGAAAAGACACAATTTGGACATCAATAGAATCTTGAGAAAATAGAATCTTGAGAAGCGTTCAAGATAAGGAGGATCTGAATAGAGGGTCTTGCCCAGAAGAGGAAAGAATTTAATTTGTCAAAAGGAAATATGTTTGCTGTAAATTGCTGTGAATTTCACACTCTCTACACTGTGCTAAAAACTCTTCACAATTGTCTAGGTATGAATTTCACAGTTAACATGGCTAGGCATGGTTGAGGGAGGACCAAGGGATTTGGTCAAGTTTTTATGAATGTAAACTGTGGTGAAGTGTGTGTAGTGTAAGAAATTTTTTTACATCATGCACCTTGATAAGAGCTCTCCGGGGTCTTGGAGAGCCACATTGCGCGTAAGTCCCTACGCAGGCTTTGGGTTTTACTGCCTGTGAGAGACTTTGTTAAGTTTGGGCAGTCACCAAAACTCAGCATCAACTCAGCATCACAATGGGCACCCTGGCACCATCAACAAAAGGGCTAGCAAGCTTCATTCCTTGCAATTCATCTCCAATTGTTCTGGTCAGAGTTCACATTTCAGCTCAACACAACAATGTCCAACCAGCGCACTCACAATACCCCACTGCAAGTCAATCCATTTGTCATTTGTTCAACATGCTCTCTAAGCCGTTGAAAGGGGGATTTGTACATACAATCTTCAACATTGCTTGTATGTAGAATCTACACCAGTAATTTTTGCAGTGCAACCTCAAAAAACCCCCCAAGGATGACCTTTGTTCTCAAAATATTTTGATTTCCTCTTGAATTGAAGTCCTGCTTCTTCCAGGCATGACCCTTGATTCAGATCCTCCATATCTTGAGACATTCTCAAGTTTTCATTGCCATCCAAGTTGTTTCTTTTCAACACTTATATACCATTGTGTCATTTGCGTAAAATTGTCCCCCCTTGTCCCCCGCTTTGGATTTTTGAAAATCAAGAATATGCTTTTTGGACATCAATGGAACCTCAAAAACAGCTCAAGATATGGTGCATCAGAGTCACGGGTCCTACAGGACTTCAATTTCCCCAGGCACATCTTGGAAAAGTCTCCTGTGGCAAATCTTTTTCTTGGGGAACATCTTTCCCCTACTAAAACCCACAACCTCTCACCCCAGAACAGCCGCATTTGACGTCCCCTAACCCAAGAAAGGGTGAGGTGGGTGAGGATCTGAATCTTTACAGCGAATCAAATGGCCTCAAACAAGCATAGATTGATGATTTCAAGGTTGGGACAATAGAGGATCAAAGGCCTGATGGAGCTTACCAGCCAGGAGGAGCGGAAGGTTGAACAAACATAGGAAGGCAGGCGATATGACATCAACACTCACCAGGTGGAGATAGAAATTGATTTGGTAAGATGTACGACTTGGATCAGTCAACGAGAAGATGGGGAAGAATAGGGATGAAAGATTCACATCATCAGTATCAGCAAGAAAAATCTCTGGGTCTGCTCACTTGGAAACTTGGCATCTCGAAATCTGAATCTGGGATGCCATATTGTGCGCAGTTCGGAGATGCAGAGTCTGCTGTTTTCCCTGCCAAAAAACCTTGGCAACTTGGAAACTTGGCAACTTGAGAGATATCCCTGTCAGCTAACTTAATCAAGGACGAGGAAGTAGTTGAGAGAGGCTACTCGCTTGTCCGAGAGGGGAGTTGAGTCAGCCCTTTGAGGTGTTTTTCTTCCAGCCAAGAAAAAGCTTAGCAATTTGGCGAGTCAAGATCCAACTTTCCAGCTCTTGATTGAGCACGACACCAAAAGATACCGGGTTTTAGGGGAGCTTCCGGGATAGTATTGACTGTGTCAGGGAATCCACACACACAGTTCCCGGTTTAGCTTAACAAAGCCCTCTCTGCGCGGCCACGTCCGCGCGCCTCGCAGAGGGGCTTACGACTAATCGTCGATTTTTGGCGTGAACACTCCAAGCGTTAAGTGGCCTTATGTTGTTTTTTGCATTTCAACGCTTCCCTCGCAAACAAACACCACTTCACCCTGCAGGGAAAGTGGTTCACCAATGTTGTCTACATATTTTCATCTATTCATCATCTGGGAAAACCTGCTTCATCATGCTTTTTTTGAGCTTGATTGTGAAGCCCTTATGTCTCACTAGTAACATAGCTCACGGCTTGTATTCACACTTTAAGTGTTTTCGAGGACTTCTTTATGTCTGAAAGTCAAAAATTAACCCAAAAGCCCGCTGTACAGGCGGGATTAGTGAAAATCTTCAAACCTCTTTTGTGGCCGCATCACTCAGAGTATCCATGGTGTTAGGCCATGAGGACATGTAGAAAGCATTTAAGAACCACTTTCCCTGAAGGGTAAAGCGATGTTTGTTTGTGAGGGAAGCGTCAAATTGCAAAAAACAACATAAGGACACTTAACGCTTGGAGTGTTCACGCCAAAAATCGACGATTAGTCGTAAGCCCCCCTGCGAGGCGCGCGGACGTGGCCGCGCAGAGAGGGCTTTGTTAAGCTAAGTCCCCGGTTGTTCCCCTTTGATTCCGCGTTCAGCCATTATGTACATAACCTTACCCTACCCCAACCGAATACCGATCCGCGGTGAACCGATCGGGTCTTGCGTCACAAGCTCTCGTATAAAAGGTCTTAAATCGCTCAGTCAACAAGCCAAGTCAACCACATCCTCACCCTCCTATATACCTTCAATCCATTCAAGTGTTCTAACCCACCGCACCATACATACAAAATGGCTATCACTAAGATCCACGCCCGCCAAATCTTTGACTCTCGAGGAAACCCCACTGTCGGTAAGTCAGCTTGTTGAGTATCTGAACTGGAGTCATCTCATCCATGACTGATCACTGACTTTAAAATCTTACCCCCTAACTCTTAACTTCTCAACAGAGGTCGATCTCACTACTTCAAAAGGTAAGAGAATTTACTCAACATCTACTGCGCCTCAAAGTAAGAGATGACGAATGGGGCTACGAGCAGGTCTCTATCGCGCTGGTGTTCCATCCGGTGCTTCGACTGGTGTACACGAAGCTGTCGAGTTGAGAGACGGCGACAAGTCCAAGTACCTTGGAAAAGGTTCGTTCAATTTTGTGTTGTCTAGCCTATGCAGTGTGAGCTGATAGCGCACTTTTTTCTACCATATCTCTATCCGCAGGTGTACAAAAAGCCGTCGACAACGTCAACAACATCATCGCACCTGAGCTGATCAAGGCTGGGATTGCTGTTACTGACCAAAAGGCAGTCGACGACTTTCTTATCAAGCTTGATGGTACCGCCAACAAGGGAAAACTTGGTGCCAACGCCATCTTAGGCGTCAGTATCGCTGTCGCTAAGGCTGGTGCCGCTGAAAGTGTGAGTTCCTATCTGACAGTTTATCAATTCACAATTGATCACAAACTGACAAAAACAATCATGAAGGGCGTACCTCTCTATGCTCACATCGCCAAACTCGCTGGCACCCGCACTCCCTACGTGCTTCCTCTGCCTTGCATGAACGTCATCAACGGTGGATCGCATGCTGGTAATGCATTAGCATTCCAAGAATTCATGATCCTTCCCACGGGCGCTGCTTCGTTCGATGAAGCAATGAAGATGGGCACTGAAACTTATCATGCTCTTAAGGGTGTCATCAAGACCAAGTACGGTATCGATGCTACCAATGTGGGTGACGAGGGTGGATTTGCTCCCAATGTTCAGGGAGCAGACGAGGCTCTTGAGATCTTAACCGAAGCTATCAAGAAGGCTGGCTATGATGGCAAAGTCAAGATCGCACTTGACGTTGGTAAGCCCATTTCCCTGCTTAACTTTGCGAACAATCGTCCCTTAATGCTGCTTGCTCTATCCATCTACAATAGCCTCTTCCGAGTTCTACAAGGATGGAAAATACGACTTGGACTTCAAAAACCCCAAGTCTGACCCTTCCAAGTGGCTTACAGGTGTTCAACTGTCTGAGACTTACATCGCAATGTCAGTTGTAACCTCGCATTCTTTGAATGAGCTTCAGTTCTGACAAGGTCATTTATAGGATCAAAAAATATGGTATCATCTCGATTGAAGATCCTTTTGACCAGGATGACTGGGAAGCATGGTCACACTTTACCAAGCACGCTGGAATTCAAGTCGTTGGTGATGACTTGACAGTCACCAACCCTCTACGTATCAACACGTGAGAACTTCCCTCTTGATCGTCGATGGTATTTGATAGCTGAGACCTCGAATATCATCGGTAGCGCTATCCAGAAGAAAGCCTGTAACGGTCTTCTCCTCAAGGTCAACCAGATTGGTACCATCACAGAGTCCATTGAAGCTGCTCGATTAGCCCAGTCGGATGGATGGGGTGTGATGGTCTCTCACCGGTCAGTGATTCAGAGACTCCCTCGAGGATTCACGTGAAAGCTCATCCATTATTTGTCTTTGTAGATCTGGTGAAACAGAGGACACTACTATCGCTGACGTGACTGTTGGTCTGGGATGCGGACAAATCAAAACTGGTGCCCGTACGTTTATATCATCTCTCCCGTCTGACATTTTCCTTTGCTTCCTTTATCTGACTGGTTATTCATATCATACAGCTGCACGATCGGAGCGAGTGGCCAAGTACAACGCCCTCATCCGCATTGCTGACGAGCTTGCACAGGCTGGTACCCCTGCCAGTTTCGCTGCTGGCCAGGGTCTTAGCGAAGGCAGCTCTGCTCCAGCGCTATTAAAGAAGTAAACAATGCCACATTTCACTACCGGCCGTCCGATATCCGCCTACATTCCTGACGGCAATAGATATCAACCTAAGCTCTTCTTGTGATCCTCGTCCAGAGTTCACGATGTAGCTGCTTGAACAAGTGCAAAGAGTTATGGACCTGGTCTTTTGGCTAGGTTGGAAAAAGGAAATAAGTTACCAATTGTCGAGGTTTTAGAGCTATCTGAACAAAAATAAAAACATGTATATAAGAGAAAGTTGTACAGCGACAAGTTGACGCAAGTATATGAAATCGTTTGCCTCCGCCTTTTGCAATACTGTACTATATACGAGGTTGAAACTGAAGAGAGTATACCACTTCTCAGACAATGTTGTGATACCCAACATTGAAAAGTAGAAACCACAAGGTATCAGACCTTGTGGTAGCTTGGAATACGCCAAATCACCTGCGTTGGCCATGGCTTTGCAAAATAAAGCTCCTTCCCAAAAATGGTGTGCTTGTAAGTTGAACATTCTTTCCACATGCTCTCCTTGTTGCCTGTGTCATTTGTTGAGAGACATTTAAACAGATCATAAGAGTCCAGAAAACCAGATACAAGGCAAGCTATGGATCTGTCAACCACCACTCTTCACATTTTGACTTATAATGAAGTAGTATCAAAATGTGAGATAAATGCTTATCTCAACTGGACCGCGACATTTTCGAAGGTGTGAAAGAAGCCAGGGCAAGAAAGGGTAGTCCAGAGTTTTGTGGGTCGTCTTTTATGGCTGAAGCTTGAAAACACTGACAGGAGTCAACGCGCTGAGCAATAAGGAGCGCATACACACCGATTCCGCACTTGCACTAGTCAATCCAGCATAAATGTGGTTGAGGCAACATTCACCCAACATCTGAATTGTATTCCCGCTGTATCTCTGACGACCAAATTCTACTTACAGGCATCAGATGACTGGAGCCTCACAGATAGCTGACCATCCCCAGTGCCCACCTAAAGGCAAGATGTGATGTGAAGCAACAGTGATGAGTAGAGGGCTCCCACAGTGACATCAAGATAACAGCACTGCTGGTTCTGGACGTGGCTTGCTCTGCTTGAATGACAAACAATTGTGATGTGCTTTCAGGTCTAGTTCTCGATTTTTGAGAAAACTGCTGTTGAATGAAGGCATCAGAAATTGACCAAACAGGACTCGCCCCAATCACTCGACAAACTGGGCCGTAGTTGCTGACACAGGCAAGCACATCAGTCTACAAAGATCAACTTCAGTATGATCAAGATGTACTGACGCGCGTTCACATGGCACCTCATGGCACATTGCCTGACAATGATCATTGATTGAACAGAAGGGGCTCAAAAGAATGTCGACAGGCTTTTCTCGCTGAACACAGAAAGGAAAAAGCGATTAATTGGTTCTGAACGGACGACAGATGAATGAAAACGGGGCAATGAAAGAAGCAATGAAAAGAAGTCTGCTTGACCGTGAGCTTGACTTTGGAACGGACCTCGAGATCAGGAAATTTGGGGGTTTTGAATCCACACCAGACGATTACAACCTTCTTGAACGTGGATCACTTGGACCCATGGTCATTGCCATCACATCACTATCGGTTGAGGCGTGATGCCCGTGAAAAAGTTGATTGTCAAACCTGGGTTCAAACAGGTTGAAGAAACCAATTATCAGCAAACTCATGTTGTCGAAGAAGTGTTGGAGGATTCTTAACTGCAATAGAATGAGAAGCGTGAAATTCGATGGTGGTCATGAAGATATCATGGACGGATCATGATACTGGAGTGTGAGGACTACCATGATGACAATCACCTTCCTGCTAAAAGAGCCTGCGTCACGATCCCTGACTAATCCGCGTAAGAACACTCTTCAGAACGCCAATCTTATGGCATCTTTTGGCAGATCTCCTCCCATAGGTAGAAGTACCTTGTCTCGTAAGTTTCTGGTCTGTGGACTTCCATAGAAGTCAAGGCGCCTGCCGGCGTACAGTTAGGTAAAGGAAGTTATTTGACTTCGCACATCATCTGTTTTGGGTCAAAGCTCTTTCTTTCGATCGCTCAGAGGAACCCGATCAGGAAATAATTTCATTTCATCATTCGCACGTCCATGGCTTCAGCCGCTCTACTTGACCCTCAACCGTCATAGTTCAATGCTATAATCGCTGTGAAAATTCGAATCGCGATATCGCAACAGACTTGCACGAGCTACGTTTCACACCTCTCCCACCTTACATCACCTCCTCAGCCTTTTCGAACTTGGAAACCGAGGTACTGCATCAGATACCTTGCAAATCAACATGGCTCGAAGTACTTCGATCAAATATGAACCCCTGTCGATGACATCACCAACACAAGACGCTTACTGCATACAAACTTCACCATCTCAGCGGAAGTTTGCGACGACAAGGTTAATTCTGAGGGCGATAGCATGCCTTTGTTTTTTGGTTTCGGCGTGTTTAGTGATCACATGGACCGGCATCCCTCGCCAGCCGATCAACTATGACAATGCCATACGTACCACCAAAACTTCGAGACCATTACAGCCCCCGGGCCCGCCTCAAAGTGACCTTTCACGTCAGAGACAGAAACAAATTCGCGATTCCTTCCAACTGGCGTATGCAAACTTTGTTACTTATGCAGGGGAACACGACGAAAGTGGGTTCCATGTTTTGTCAATCAGTTGCGCAAAGCTCGAATATGTTTTGATCTTGTGTGAATCTTATCAGTCCGACCTGTCTCTCTCGGGCACTCTGATCCCCGGAATGGATGGGGCGCCACTACTGTAGACTCTATGACTACATTGTTTGTGATGGACCTTGAGGTGAGTACTGTTAAAAATACAATCAATAGCCTAGATCATTGTTAGCATGCTGACGGTCATATTTTAGGAGCACTTGCAAGCTGCAATTAATCACACGGTGCACACTGATTTTACAAAATCGCGAGTACCCGGTCAACATACTTCAGTCTTTGAAACTAACATCAGGTATCTTGGTGGAATTCTCTCAACGTACGAGCTTACTGGCGCAAATCACACCGAACTTTTAGACAAAGCAGTGGACATCGCTAATGAGTTGGGAGTCGCATGGGGTGGAAACTCGAAAATACCCCACCCATCAGTATCCGTTGACGATAATCATGCTGTTTTACATCATGATACCACTCTTGCTGAAGCTGGTCAGCCGCTTTGAGCTTAGATTCCCTGAGCTTATTTACTCAATAACGAATTTGAAGCTGATATGAAGTCGGATGTCTGCAGGATCCTTAACTTTGGAGTTTGATAGACTTTCTTATTGGACTGGGAATGACTCATACCGATTCACAGCGGATAGCACAAGTCGTGCATTGATGAGTACGACAACCCTAACCTGATTGGCATCCATAATTATATCTACTGATCAAGACTGCATCAGGTAACCCCCAAGTATTCCCAGGTCTCCATGCACAAAACATCTATCTCTACAATGGATTGCCTCAGGGAGATTATGTAGGATGGGGCGGCAGTTCCGATAGTTTCTATGAGGTTGGCGCTTGGTACCATTTGGGTTGGAAATCTTGCGCTCATTGTTTTCTGCATTCGGACCTATTCTACAGTACGCTGTCAAATATTGGCAATTGATTGGGGACCAGGCTGTGGATTACGTTAGATGTGAGTTTTTTACCCTCTGCTGGTGTATTCATAAAGAAGACTCCCCTTGACACTTGATGATATCCCCTTTCAAATGTATAGATTGGCAAGAGGCTATCATATCTTCGCGAAAACATCTTCTAAGATGGTCTGAAGATCGCAAGCATCCTTATCTAACAGAATATTCCGCAAATGGAGGTGGCACTAGAAACTTCATGACACACCTTGCTTGCTTTGCACGTAGGATCATATCAATCCATCTATCGCCCGTTTTGTGAAAAATAACTGACATCACACTTTTGATCTCTATGTGTGCTCCACAGCTGGAAACTGGATGCTAGGTGGAAAACTTTTGGAGAAAGATGATGTTTTCGCACTCGGTACGGAAACAGGCCCGGTCATCTTTCAGAAAGATATCGTTCTAACTATCATGTCTCAACAGGTCTAAAACTAGCCGAGACATGTTATGATTCGTACAACTCAACGAGTTCAGGTCTTGGACCCGATGTAAGTTGAGCTATCAATCCCATCCATATCAAAAGTGTATCCTGATCAGTCCTGCCTTTTTAGAAATTTTCTTACGACAAGTCCCTCGTGGTGTTGAAAGGAGAATTTGTGATGCGACCAGAAGTATTGGAGAGTATGTGGTACGCGTGGAGATTGACCGGTGACCCTGTATGGCAAGAGCGCGCCTGGTTGATCTTTGAGGCTATTGAAAGAAATTGTAAAGTCGATGGCGGTTATCGTGGTCTCAGAAACGTCGAGCAGCCTGGATGGGGGTCTATAGACAGCAGGTATGTTTGATTTTTTTCTTAAGCTCTTCTCAAGTGTGAACTTAATAAATGCCTCCAACTTTTTGCGCTTTTAAATCATAGTGAATCATTTGTTTTTGGTAAGTTTCCGTGTGATGTTCTACCCATGAAAAACAGAAAATCATATTGGCTAACATTCCTCTTCAACCATAGCTGAAACTTTCAAGGTAATTGGTTATTATTTTTATCTGATTGACCAAGCGTGATTACCAATCTGACGCTTCATGACATTCTACTTCAGTATCTTTACCTCATGTTCTCCCCAAGGAGTCATTTCTCCCTTGATGAATGGGTCTTTAGTAAGTAGCTATCAAACTTCCATTGATATGTGAAAAGTACCTGAATATAATTTGATTGCTAATGATTTTTTCTCGTGATTCAGCTACCGAAGCCCATCCTTTCAAGATCAGAGTATCCAAGGATCTACCTTTAACAAATCTCTCGAATCAAACTGACAGCTCTAACAATCAAGCATGATATATAATTTCACAATCCATTGCATTCATAATCTCCTTATCTCATAAATTATTCATAGTGACTGGAAACTCATTGACTTGTATCAACGTCAAATGCTGTCTTAGTAATTTTTTTTTGTTATCTTTCTCAATTCTGAAGTACAATATTTGTTTAATTTATTTGATGTATGTAGATAGCCTTAAACTTGACAATCGTTTTACTCATCCCACTCTTCAAAGGACATTCTTTACTTGAATCATTGATCGGTTGTAATACACGTTCCCAGCTGTGGGTATTTTCATCACGTGATTCATTTTTATCATAATCTTACATTTTAATGCATTCCCAAGAAATTTTTAGTATCATTTGCTGAATCATATATTTAGACATTTGTTTTTGACATGATGTCTTAATGACTGCCGGTTGTACTGATCCCTTTTTGGTTTGAAAATGGCCAAAAATTTCTTGTGAGTTAAGTGACAGCAAGCTCATAAGTACTACATACAGTGAGATTCCTTTATAAGCATGGTGATGGTTGCATCAAATCCCATGCTAATATAAAAAATGCTTCTTATCGGAACAGACCTAATAGCCTATAGGAGCATAAAACATGCTCAAAATTATGCTATGCTTGAATGTCAGGCTTGGCACTTGCAACTATTGAAAAATATGTACTACAGAAACCTAGAAGCAAAAATTGACAGACAGTTTTTCAATTGATCTTCGCTTTTCTACTCAATGCAGCCTAATTTACTCCACTTCACCTACCTTTCTTCTCCTTTCTTGCATCACATAGAAGCATAAACACGTGAAAGAATCATGTTATGCTTCTTTTTTCATGCTTCACATGAAATTATACAAGCATATCAGTCAAAACCTGAAGCATATGCTTAAAATGCTTATAAATCCAAATTTACTGCCCACCAAAAATGGTCACATCATTTTTGATGCTTATCAAAAAATATGCTTGTAAAGGCAATGCTTAAAAAGGAATCCCACTGTACTCGAATATTGCAACAGATGTGAGACATATTGCTCCTGGCATCCCTCATGCTGGATCAAGTCTGTCACTTAGGAAGTGTCCAATTTGAGAAATAAGCTTCAGTTCTAATTAAGAGCCGTCAAAATCCAGGTCTTCATTAGACAAATAAATATAGCTCATTGTTCAGGCTCACAGGTTAAATTCTTCAAATTCTTTAAATTGTGGGATTTGGGTTTGCAATTGGCATGGAACTGAACAAAGGTATGACATCACACATGTGATGAGGGCCAACTTAATATTATTTAAGATCCTGGATGGGGTTGTTTATGTCTGATAAATGTCACCAGGATGCCATAGTTTTTTTCTAGAATATTTCCAGATTGTTCACGGTACACTCTAGGTTTCCCAAGGAGGCTGTTTCAAAAAGGGGTAAAACTGGTTAATCCAATTTAAGCTTTCCTTAAATGAAAGGCTTGATGGACGCAGGCCCAGGGCATGCAAGGGAAGAGATCAGTCAACTGTTGAAATTTGAGCAGGTTGTTGTTTGGTTCGTTGTTAGCATGTGAAGTGAAGGTGAAGTGATTGGTGGATGATCATAGTTATTCACAGTCACAGGTCAGAGTCCCCGCCAATTTGCTGGAGGTTTGCGGGCAAATTTGATCAATCTTTTGAAGATTGAGTTATCTTGAGCGGAATCAATACAAGGAGTGGAATGAAAGACCTCACACCCAGTGACACCAAATATACACCCTTCTTAGTGAAAATTGAAATCATTGGAAAGCGATAGAGTTATGATCAGTTTCTTACATCATTCGTCATCGCTTTCGGTAGCTTTCGGTTCAAAGGGTGACATGTTATAAGCAGAAGGGTGAACTAAAAACCAAGGTCCAATCTCATCAGTCATAGCCACTGGGCGTTTCAAATCTGATTCTCTTTCTTGACCTCCACCTTCCCTAAAACTTGCACTTTAGTCTCCTCTTCTCTAAACTGATCTTCGATTAGCTTAGGAGTTTAAAAAACAAACAACCTCGTCCATACTTCTCTCATCGATCAAGCCCATCTGGCTCTTGCATTGTAAATCAATCTAAACCTTTGATTTACTCATAATTCTGCTATTCTGATTTGCCCCTTTTAGTTTCCATCATAGAACTTTGGATGCCTTCTCACCTATCGATAGGTTTTTAGAAACATTGATTGCATGTAAAGTAAACCTCATTTTACTCTCTGGGAGTCCGCTCTTGGCTATACATATATCCAATTCATCGTTACGATCACTCAAGATTCACACCAGCGGTGATCGAACGGTACCGCTCATCATACACGGCTCGGCTCGGCTCAGCTTCGTCAACCCAGTAGCTTTTGATACCCCGGCAATTATACATGGCTCAGTTGAGGGCCTCAACAACTTCATTCGTGGCAGTGTCGATTGTCACCCTAGCCCTTTTCCTCTACGGGATCCACCGCCTCCACTCGTCTTACACACCTTCATATTCTATCTTCTTTCAACAATCAGTAACCACCAACAGCTATCTCGATATTGATCATGATATACATGGTCATGTACCTGGCCGGATCGCTTACCTTTCAATCTACAATCGGATCCCTGATCCACTTAAACTTTTTGGATTGGTCGGACTTTTGATCTGGTTATTGATCCTTTTTGGCTGTGGGTCTATCGTAGCAGGGGACTACTTTTGTCATAATCTGTCTACCATTGCCAGTGGGCTAGGCTTGAGTGAGAGTGTGGCTGGCGTTAGTTAGTCATTCATAACATCTCCCATCCTGTTGATCTGATTACATTGAATATGTGCTTACTTTGAGTCTCACCTTTTGATAGCATTTCTTGGGTTCGGCAATGGCTCTCCCGATGTGTTTTCAACTTTCACCGCTATGAGGGCTGGTACAGGATCATTAGCTCTGGGAGAGTTATTGGGAGCTACTCTCTTCATTGTAACTATAGTGGCAGGCTCTATACCTTTTATTCGACCTTTCCAGGTCCCTGCTCGAAGTTTTCTACGCGATGTTTCGTTCTTGGGGGTAGCAGCAGGCTATAGCCTCTTCATCATGATGGATGGGATAATCCACCTTTGGGAAGCATCTGGATTGATACTTCTGTATCTCATATACGTTGTTGTTGTTGTGATTGGAAGCTGCCAGACTGGTCAAGAGATTTGCTCTTCTGATAGGTTCGTATTTTCTATCAATCCCAATGACACCCTCGATAGCAAGAAAGTTAGGGAAGACAATGGCCTCTCAGTTCAATTGGCTGGTGAGTGCTTTATTCATGTGTAAAGTGATTTTTTCTGAGTTCTTTGGTTTGGCTTTATTTATAAAAACCTCAGCTAGTCAAGATATCCACCCAACCAGTTCCTCTCAGACTCCATTGGAAGAGGTGAACGGTCAGCTCCGAGATCCCGCCGGACCGAAAGATCAAGTTGGTGATGTAGCTCATCTACATCTATCATTGGAGTCGACAAGTGATGGTTCGAAGGCTCTACGGTGTTCCTCAAGTCGACCATTGAAGTGTGAACCTCATCAAGATTTAGAGGTCATGCCTTGTCACGTAGGCACAAGATCATCTCAACAATTTACCATTCGTCCACCAGTCCATCGACCTAGCTTTTTGAGTGCTATCGAATACCACGAGATGCTCAGCGAGTTGAAAAAGATACCTTCTCAACCCGACACTGGATTTCTTCCAAGACGGCGTGGTAGTCGTTCGCTTGGAGAAATGGATTTTGATCGAGTGGCTATATCTCGATCTATTCACTCGACCCCTTCAAGTCCTACAGATTGTCCTTCACATAGCACACCTATCGATTTTTTCAATTACAGCTTGAACCAGTCTTGTCCTTCACAACGCTCGCTACCGAACACAAGGAGGGAAGCCACGAATCCTGAACCATCTTCCGCTCACTCCGATATCTCATGTAACGCGACCTTGGATCACTTGACTTCTCCGACAAGGAGTCAAATCACAAACGAGACTGATCCAGCCTTGGGTGCACCAATTGTAAAACAAGACGTCATGAGAAGTAACTCTTTTGACTCTGAACTACCAAGAGCCTCTCAAAGTGAAATTCGTATGAAAACAATTACTCGAAGAATATTCAAGATCATGTTTCCAATGACAGAAAATTTTTGGGAAAAAAGTCTATTAGCCAAGATAGTCGGAGTCTCTTCCTTACCGGCTGTAATTCTTTTTAACTTGACTTTACCAGTGGTACGTACAGATCAAACCGAAGCAAATGAAGATGTGCAAATTAGCATGATAGGTGAAGGTGCGATAGGCGAGCTAGGAGACGAAGAGAATAGAGTTGGACAGGTTCCGCGTATCCAAATCACAACAGCTGATAGTATCAAATCAAGACGTAGCACAGAGGAACTTATGGAAGACGTGAAATTAGGAGAAGAACAAATTATGAAATTCTTGAGAGTGGTTCAGGTGATCATTGCACCTATATTTTGTGTGATTGTATTTTGGCCAGAAAATCAAACGGAAAAAGACTATCAAATTTATATGGGAGGTGCCGGTATTATTGGTTTGCTGAGCGGGACTTTGTTTGGGCTGATAGGTGATAGATGGCGTGGAATGTATATGTGCTTGGCAATGGTGGGATTTGCGGTCTCGATCGCTTGGATCTCTACTATCATCAATGAAGTTGTAGGTCAGTCAATAATGGATACTTCCATCGAGATATTGCTTCACACTGACCCAATCTCTATTTCCAGGAGTGCTAGAATGTATCGGTAAAATTTTGGGCTTATCAAATGCTATTGTCGGTCTTACGATTTTTGCTATTGGAAACTCTTTGACTGACTTAATTTCAAATTTAACGAGTATGTATCTGATCTAATCGAATCAATAATTGGTTCCTTGACAATGAAGAGCTACTAATCGCGATTGTTCTCGATGTTTAGTGGGTCGCATGGGATTTCAGGTGATGGCAATCTCAGCTTGCTATGGAAGGTCAGCATACTTCTCACTGAAACCTTGATATCCATCTAATCTGAACAACTTCTTTTTGTGGTCACTTTCAGCCCATTACTCAATCTTCTTCTTGGAGTTGGACTCTCTTCAACCTATTTAATCGGAATTAGTGAAAGTCAAGGTCCTTATGTCATTGATTTTCCACTTACACTTATCGTTAGCGCTATCGGATTACTGTTTATTCTTTCGGCTACTTTGATCTTTGTGCCATTAAATGGGTTTCGAATCGATCGAAGATGGGGTTTTACTTTGATCTTTAGTTATTTGGTTATCTTCTCGATTAACATATTGGTTGAACTTCGAACTTCTACTGATTAAAGTACCTTTTAGTTAGATTCTTCTTCTTTACCTATTGACATCGTTTTAGAAAGGACATTTGTAGGATCGGGTAATATTTATTCCTGGGTTGTTGGTCTGAAGAGTTATAGTTCATCTCATTGATTTAGCATTTGGTTTTGCATACGTATATGATTTCTTACCTCATTATATTTTTGTGAATCTTTGGTTTCAACAAGTCATAAAATTTGTATCTAGGAATTGTGCTGTGTCGTTTATACAAGATTATTAAGTTGTAATCTATAATCTAATGCATGTTACTTTGGTAAATATCTTGGGGATTTGTGGGTATCTATAGAAACAATGGATCATCAGTTTGGTAAATTCATTTATGCAGAAAGGTTGGGTCAAGTAAAGAATATCAATTTATCACAAACAAATGTTTAAATTCTACCATTACATTTAAACTTGTCGGTACCAAAAAATGATATGATGTATATATTAGGGTAGAATTGGTAGTAATCAGAGCATGAGAAGTTTGGCGCATGATTTGATCATGATTCGCACAAGAAAGGTTTGGCTCTGTTTCTTCCAGTGAATTTAACATGACATCTTCTGAAAGATCTTGAAGACTTTGGGTGCTCTCAACAAATGATCAAAGCATTCCCATCAAAGTATTCCCACCAGGGAAAACAAAAGTCAAGACTATTGAAAGTATTCAAAAGATTAGCATATAATAGCCCCATCAAAGATTTCAGACCTGCAAGTGTCAAGGCAGTTCACCAAAATTCCTAGAATCAGGTTCAAGTTTTACTTTTAGCTAAGACATCACATATTTGGCACTGGTTCAAGCAAACCTGTCTGAAGAAAGAGATGGTTGTTTTTGCAAAGGACATCTCAACATTTGGACTGTGATACAAACTTCAGATATGTACAAGAATGCTTAAGTCAGAGAAATCACAAGAAGCTCACCAGTGACCAATCCGTTAAAATACCCATCACACAACGATAAACTGAACGGGCCAATTCCGACTGTCGTCTATGTTGGCCCCGAGACCAAGTCGGGTACCATAGGATCGGGTAATGAAATTTGGCATGAGTGAGACGATCTCGAATGAGTTCATCCAAAACAAATTATCCACTCAAGATCGATACTCTCATGGATTCTCTAGAACCAGAATGTACACCACTAAAAAAATCTTACGATGGTTGCTTCAATCGATGGTTTGAAAGATATCTTCAACTATCTAATCAAGTACCCAAAACTAACGGACGTGAAGAAGGAATGCTTAAGATGAAACGAGAGTATGAAATCGAGTGTGGTCAACAATGGACAGCTTATCAGACTTGCTTAAATGTTAGAATCTGTTTCTCTTTATCTGATTCTCTCTTTCTTTAATTTGTCCTGAATCTTTTCAAAATTTATGTTTTATGACCTTTCCTGGAGATTTAGAAAGCCATTGAAAGTCGACAACTTAAGCCTCTCTTAGATGCGGCTCGGCAGGAAGATCCTTTGAAGTCTTACAATGATATCGAGACTAGTACTGGACGTTAAAAGTCTCAATTGATCAATACTCTTGATTGGCAAAGTCTATGAAGTGGCACAATATCAGGCGTATTGAGGTTTCAATTTGTCGACGGTGAATCGTCAATCTCGGCAGTAAAAAAGACTTTATTTCCAATGATTCATTACAAGGCCACACAAAATATTCACAAATGTATAGAAAAAAGTGGTCGGGCTTATGAAAGCTTTGCATACTGATGTGTTAACAGGCCAAGAAGCAAAGCATGAATTATAATTCACATGATTTCGTCAAAACGTAAATAGTTGAAAAGATGGTAGCCGTACAACATGAGGATCATAACTGTTGAGATTGAGGGATACAATCAACTTCAGAAGATAAGATAAATGCAAAAAAGTCGAGGTTTTTTTTTTTGAAAACTCGATGTGTTTTCTCTCGTTTAAACAATATGCCATGCAAATGAATGACAAATGTCCTAGGATGTAGAAAGAAATCATCATCAAATGTAACGAGTTGTGGTCGGGCTATTAATGGGGGACATTGGCCTTTCCTCGGAACCTTGTTCGAGATCATGCTCTTCCGTAGTTTGAGGGGGAGGTGAAGAAGATCTGACCAGCGCTTCTCTCGCTCCTGCCCCACCCATACCCATTGCCATACCACCTGGCATGGCGATCAAAGCTCCTAGGTTTTTGAATGGTGGGACGGGTTGACGCATGACTGGAACACCTACATGACTAGGAGCATAAATTGTGGGGCTCATAGGACCTTGCCCATAGGGAAGAGGGTGAACGGATTCGGCTGGTTGTGCTCGGTAGACTTCAAAAGATGGATGCAGAGGGTTTTGAGGAGCTCTGTGAGCTGGCTCTTCTTCCTTCTCTCTACTTCGAGTAGATTCATCGAGGCCGTGGTGTCGACGGCGCATCTTGACCTCAATCCCACCGAGATCGGGAGAATCGTCGATGTCATCTGAATCTTGCTTGGGTGTTAATGCATAGTAGTCCACACTCTTTAAGCTATGAGAAGTGATGTGGATTGAAAGCCATAAGCGGTTAGCTACTACTCGTTCTCAAGTACAAAATGTAACGCTTACAAAACATAGATCATAGTCGCGAGGACTGCACCAACGGATGGGCCGATCCAGTAAACTATAGATCAAACCAAAGCAGGGAATGGTTAGAAACAGGTGCGGTTGATTGAAGACTCCGGTGACACATACTCCAATGTTCTTTGTTAAAACCAGTAATCTGAAATGTGTCAAAGCAAGGTGCAAAGCAAGATGTCAGTTTCGTGCGGTGAAATTTATGAAGCGTATATTGGCGCGTACCACAGAAGGTCCAAAGGCACGAGCGGAGTTCATCTGAAGGAATTCAAATTAGTGTGTGCGATATGAAGGAGTGAATGTAAGTCTCTACTTACAGCGGCTCCGGTGAAGACGACTCCAAGCAAGTGAGAAGCAAAGAGAACCAAGCCAATAGCTACAGGTGCAAATGGAGTTGACCTATGCTTTTCGACGGCGACTTTGAAAGACACAGCATGTTAAATTGAGATCAAAGGCTTTGAAAAAGATGTCATGATGACTTACCAAGTAGTACAGTCAATGTGAGCGTGCACGTAAGAAAGGCCTCAATGAGGAATCCTTGAAAAGGTGTAGTATGGACACCTAGCGCACATCCCACGGCAAGAGGTCCAGGTAGACAAGCGTGTAATAGAGCGGAAGCTGCGATTGCACCCAAAATCTGTGGCAGAACACCATCATCATTAACTGTCTCGCCAGAGGCAGGGACATGGAATCCAAGGAACATACCTCAGCGATTACATACAGGACAAATCGCCTGAATCGTGAAGCAAACGGTGAGACTTTATCGGTTTAGACAGACTGAGACTAGCGATGACTTACATTGGTTTCAGAGCGCCGGTCAGAAGTAATGCAATGGCGACATTAGGGTTGAAAACACTTCCACTGACTCGAAAGAAAGTCCAGGCAGCAGCCAACAAAGACAATCCCATACTGATTAATGATGCAACATCATATTAGCAATTTGATTTTTTCACAATGCAACAAAAATGATAACAAACCTTGTGGAAATATATAAAAGTTGTTCAATACTGGCGACAGTGTTAACTGCAGTTCCAGTGTTTGTTGCAGCTGCCTTGAGAGATGCTTGATTGGACACGGCAGCAGCTTGGATTCCCCCTAAGCCCATCAACAAGAAAAGCATAGTTCCTGAAACAAATATCATGTTAGAAACCTGATTTTAGTGAAGAGATGAGAAGACAAATTTGAAGCTTACCAAGGAACTCGATGCAAGCTGCAACAACATCGCCTGTTTTTTGTATATACGTATTGATGATAGTGAGCTGGAGCTGGAAATATATGATCCAAAAGGAGGTATGAACGTACGTTTCAGTTGAAGCAAAAACGCGTCAAGATTTATGCCTTTCTCGGATGGCATTCTGGGTTTCTTAGTATGTGATTTCCTCTTTAAAACGTAGATAGCGAGACAGATGTAGTATAGTAATTCTTTATTTTACTGGAGACAAAGGGGGAACTGATTTTGGGTATTAATTTGATACAACGAAGGTTAGGAGATTGGTAGATTGTCCTTCACGGGCAGGTGACCGGAGTGATAGTTAGAGGGCTGGTATGTGGTGGTTTGGTGATTATGTTTTTAAATGGTAGACTGACACGAAAAATATAAAAATGAAGGTAAGTAAGCTATATATAAATGAAAGTATTGGTATAGGGATTGTCTGATGGGGCTTTGTGAAGACGAATTGACTGGACTACTATATATATTTAAGAAATAGAGAGCAGACAAAGTGCAAGAGATTTTATCATCCAGTTGAGGACTGTGCAAACGGAAAACCTTACCAATGAGTCGCCAAATTGAGGGACGGGCTCCTATGCCGATGTGATTTGTAGCAAGCGTTGTATTTGCGAATGTCGTGGTGATGAAGCAGCTCAGGGTCTATGCAAAAGGCCGAGTCTTTATTGACACTCAGGGTACAGAGGAAATGTGGATTGTGGACTTTATGATATGCTGATGACAAATTGAAATGGTACACAACTGCGTGTATGAATGCGTCCAAATCGGGAAGTCGAGATTCCTCAAGAGGGTCTTGACTCTTAAAGAAGAAGAGAGCTCCGTAAAAGAATCCCACCCAATCCAAAGTCCGAATGTTTGGATGAGCGTTAGGAAGTTAGAGAACATGAGAGACTTGATGTCATCATTTGACTTGGTGTAGTTGGTGTATGGAGAGACGGTATCTCGTACGTCAGGATCTCAATCTTACATTAAAATACTATTCATTGAATCTCCACTTTCATACCTCGAGAGCATACCTCTACATATAATAATCAAATGGCCTCCACGTTACATAAAGAAAACTCTGAGATGAAGCTAAGTAACTTAATCGCACAAAGAAGTAGAACTTAACGAAGTCCCTCGTCCAAATTCCCTCTCGGACGAGCGAGTGGGAATTTGTCAAGTGAGAAGGAAATGAAATGGAATTGCATCATTGTCAATTCGAAGGGGTCCGCAAGAATAAATTAGATTTGATTGCAACGAGTCACTTCTCCTCGCTAGCGCTAGTGACTCGCTGGCGGCCATCAGAGCATGAAACTCAACCAATCCGAGCTTCTTATGTAATACGCTACATGCTCTCTATGCTCTACATAGCACTGCCAATTGTACATCGGATTCATAAATCCTACTTGGATGTCGGCTTCTTCTCTTGGACTAGCTCCAACCTTCGAGGGCCTCCTACATTATGCATACATATTATGTCATATGTATTAAACTTATCCAAGTCCCACACACTTCGAGGCGAGATTCGAGAAGCAGTGTGGGACTTGGTCCTTGGATTAGCTTAACTAAGCCCCTCGCGCGGCCGCGTCCGCGCCCTCGAAAGAGGGGCTTATGACTAAAACGGGTTTTTTGGCTGTGTGACTCCATGTTTTAAGTACCCTTATGTTGTTTTTCTCGTCTCTGCTCTTCCAATTTTCAACAATTTTTCAGACCTTTGAGTATGTTGTTCTTTGTCAAATTGTACATATTGTGATATACTTTTCATGAGCAACAGACACCCCTGCATGGCTTGAGAGCTGTGCTGAGGATGCGAAAAACAGGCCTTACGCCGTGTTGTAAATGCCCTAAGACCACCTAAGCCAGCTGGATTTCCCTCGAATGAAATTCAAAAGCCGCTTAATTACCAATCTTACATCACGATTTCAAAGCACTTCTGCTTCATCTAAACCAAAGTAAATGGTACTGTGTTATGTACAACTTGATGAGGAATAACATACTGGAAGGTCTGAAAAATTTAAGAAAATGGGAAGAGCAGAGACGAGAAAAACAACATAAGGGTACTTAAAACATGGAGTCACACAGCCAAAAAACCCGTTTTAGTCATAAGCCCCTCTTTCGAGGGCGCGGACGCGGCCGCGCGAGGGGCTTAGTTAAGCTAAGTCCTTGGATAAGTTTATCCATGTATCCTGTTTGCTCCGACTTACATAATTGACACTTCTTTTTGCTAAAAAGCGTGTGATCAGTGGCTCCGTGTTTGTGCTTGATGTTCGATAAGCTAATGTGCCAGCGCGCTTTTCACATGATCCGTAGATGAGCAGTTTGGAATAAACTCAACAAAGTCCCTCGCTGCGTCTCGCACGCTTCGAGCGCAGCGAGGGACTTATGACAAACTCGTAACTTTTTGCCTGTGAGGGGAACCAGTTTTTGCAGGAGAAATTTGCCTTCCTTATAAAGCTTTTTCCCCTATTTGTGAAAAATTGAGATGCAAAGAAACTAAATGTTCGCCTCTATGAGTTGCATCAATTGATCCAAAAAAATGCCGAGGAAGCCGAGGAATGTCCTTTCAGATTCCTTCTGAAGTTCAGCATTTTGGAGTGTTTTCGAGTGTTTTGACCTGTATTTGACCCTCGAGAGTGGTTTATACATACGAATACGAGGCAATTTCATCAAAAACTTCGAGCTTCAGAAGCCAGTAGAGGAGGATTCCTCGGCTTCCTCGGGATTTTGTTTGATCAATCGATTCGCCTCAGAGAGGCGAAAATTTCATTTCTTTGCATCTCGATTTTTCACAAATAGGGGAAAAAGTTTTATAAGGAAGGCAAATTTCTCCTGCAAAAACTGGTTCCCCTCACAGGCAAAAAGTTACGAGTTTGTCATAAGTCCCTCACTGCGCTCGAAGCGTGCGAGACGCAGCGAGGGACTTTGTTGAGTTTAAGTTTGGAAGAGTTTGGGTGAACGAATCCGTCATCTGACCAGTTTTCTGACTCTCGCAACTATCCACAATAGACCATGGAGTGGTATGGCCGACTGGCCGACCGGCGGGCAGCCTTGACCGACGGCCCAAAGGCTGCCTATCTTTACGCTCGTTGAGGACCCAGAAATCCACCTGGTGAGGTTCCCGACGAAAAAAGGGAGTTTTGGGGGCAAAAACTGGCGGATGTACGAGACAAAAAAATTGAGATTGAGATATCAGAACGTGTCTCTTCTTTCATGCGCATATACTTTCTCTTTTTGCTTACATCATTCACCTGTGTAATACTGTAATGATGTCATAAGTTTGAGTTTGTAATTACTATTAGGGTCTTTCAATTGCTCTCTTTGTACCTTTCTCTCTTCATCGAACTCAAACTTATTTTGTCCTCAAACAATCTTCTTCCATCAGATTGTTTTGTTTCTTTTGATCAGCGTGTTAGCTTTATTAACAAAGCTAGCTACCTGTTCTCCACAGGTGTAAGTGTCATTTGTTTTGGTTTTAGTTTCATGTAAGAAGACTGGAAGTATCGGCTGTAAAAGTCACAATTCTGCCAACAAGATAGTTTTACATGCTCTGTTTTTTACGGGCCCCGGTTCTTTACGGAGGATTAAGGTCGGAAAAAGATGAACGTAAAATTCAATAATTCGGCAACTGTAAATTATTTTTGCGAATAACTTTTTGCATTGGTTTTTCTTGCGCGCTTTCGAAACAGTCGAAAGGCGGCAAAATTAAAGATTGCTCCAGGAATATTCAATTTTACGGACAAACACTTTGCGAACATTTACGCCTGCAGATAAATGTTTGTAAAAATCTACGATTCCATCAAATAATGCGCTCTCTTGAGCCGGGGTTAGCTTAACAAGATGCGAGGGCGCGGACGCGCAGAGAGGGCTTTGTTAAGGTAAGGGCCGTGGTGACCTCAATGGCATTATTCTATCCTCTCAATGTCATAGGGGAACATGAAACAGGAGAAAAAGGTCGATAGGGTACTCAGATGCATAGACGTGAATCGTTCACTCAAAACATTCTCAGCATCGCTTGAATTTTGTTCAAGTGGAACGGAAGTGACAGAGTCAGCCGGTTGGCCAAAATGACTCCCATGTGCGGGGTGAGGTAGGTTCAGAAGTTGTCATTCATTCATCCCTCTTTGAGCATCCGAGGGATGCTATGGAGCTTGTACAATCGATTTTCGTATCCCTTTACAACAAATGTAATTGGATACCGTTCCCATCTTTGCCATCAAACAAAATGATGTTGCCCAAGTCGAAGGCAGGTTTCATGACTTGGATAAACATTGCCTTCGACGACACTTAATTGATATCATAGGGGATCCTCTCAGCTTTCATCAAGGCTCTTACCCCCACATCAAGTTGATTTACCTCGCAGCCAGCTCGACGTGATTCTTTTAGATCAAGTCCTCACGGTATCCCCTTGTTAATCTTTCTCTCTTGATGTATTCCAGCAAGTTCAGGACTCCACTAGTGCAATTCAATCTATCCCTACTTGATTGAGCCTTTAACCTTGAAACGCCGGTCGTTCATGAATGGCTCTTCAAAGGTTCCTTCACTCTTTATTCTTTGCTTAAGTTTGAAGCTATGTCCGTTTCTTTCAGGTTATCAAAATATTTCATTCAGTTTGCTTTAACATACCTAGTCTTGAAGATCAATCTCTGCCAGTCTCAATTTATCGATTTCCAATATTTTACCCCAGCTTTATCAATCATCAATGGACCTCAACCCGATCAAAACATCGATGGTATGGTTAATTCTTTAGATTAGATCGTCATACATTATAATCCAATTCTCCAACGCCTCACTAACCTAAATTATTTGATTTCATAGCCGGCCAAAACCTTCAGTTTTCCTTAGAAGTAAGTGGCAATGGTAAATTACCACCAGCAAGCCTAGAGCCAGGAAACCAACAGGCGACCACAATCCTGAGCCTTAGTGTCTTCTTGATCAATGCCGATTTGAACATGACGATATTTGAAAATCTGAATCTTCTGGAACTAGAGAGGGGTAGCAGTGTCAAGCACTATGATTTCCAATTGCCATCAGTAGGTAATCTCAATTATATCGATATTATCATCAATACTCATGGTTTGAACTTGCTTCTCCATCTTTGAATAGTGTACACCTTCAGGCACCTATCAAGTAAGTTCAGACTCGTGTGTTCACATTCCTTGTCAGCTTAAATACGAAATGAGTGACATATATTGGTCTGTTATAATCTTCTTAAGGTCACATATCATGAGGTTGGTCTACTTGTGGTCTTCTCGCTCTCATCTTGTGGAGCTCAGTATTAATGAAATATACCCCCACAGCTGGATCGAATCAATTCCAACATTTTCTATTCCATCTATTCGACGAGTTGAGTCGTTATAACCATTTTTCAGACTTGGTTCGCCTTTGCTGTGTTGCTCACCTCTTTCGAAATTGAATTCAGATATCAATGTCAACAACCCGGATGGGCATAGCTCCAAAACCTGTCAGGGCGCAACACCACCAAAAGACAAGCCTCAGGACTCTAAACCACCAGCTCAGCCGTTCTTAGGGAAAGGGACTACAGGTTTGTTCTTTCTTACTAGAAAATATCTTTGCCTCACCTAACCATCCGAATCCCTTTATTCTCGCCTTCAGGTTTAGATATCAAAACAGATTCAATGGAAGCACCAACTGCTGCACCCGTTGATGTACCAGCTGCTAAACCTGTTGATGTACCAGTTGCCAAACCTGTTGATGCACCAGTAGCTGAATTTGCTGAGGGTTTGCTAAGTCACGACATCGTGAATCGTGCTACAGCGGCAGATTTAGGTGTATTACAAGCAAAGTCAGATTCTCAAAGTGAGTGTCACAACTCTTCGTGCTACCAAATAAATTCAAGATCTCAATTATGATGGATTCATAAATTCTCAGCTTCAGCTACCACTCCCAAGGCAGTACCATTCAGTCAATTCAAGATTGAAAATGTAAAGAAAGCACCATTAGCAGTCACACTTGTGTCTGAAGCCCCATCAACAAAAGAGGAGACTCCATCAGCAGAAGGATTAGCTGTTGCTGAAGCGTTAACCAAAAATTCATCGTGAGTTTCGGACTTTATATGACCTCATTCATCGACTTCATCTCTCAACTTGATATTTAATTAACGTTTATTTTTTTTGGTTTGCTCGCAAAAATCAAAACCTAACCAGTCCTTCTTCTGATGGGTCAAAAGCCAAATTCTCCTCACTAGGGAATCAAAAATTCACTAAATCTGTCGCCGATGCACGTCAAAAGGCCTCTTCAAGGTAAGAATCAGATATAATAATCTTCATATTCATCTTTGCTTCATTCACTTTAAAACTTTAATGACTTCACAATAATGGATTTCACTAATTTGAATTTTCTTTTCAAACAGTGCCAACCATCAAGGTTCTAATGACAAGAATGTGAGTATCCTTCCATATGAATTCAAACATCAACTCATTGTCAACAAAACTGATGTGTTCAATGTGACATTGTTTGTGAATCCACATAGTCTGACCCTCAATCTAACATTCATGATCCTCTCTCAAACCAGAAAACCTCACATGAAACTCAAAATCATGAACAAACTCTCAGTCCCAATCACTCTCAATCAGTCTTTTCAAACAAATCATCAAAAGATGGTAAACTGTTTGGTGTACCACTTATCTCTTCCGCATCATCTTCAACATCAATTGTAACTAATCATAGGACGCTGTATCATCTCTTGATCTTCTTGTGTTTAATTAGTCTTTCACTCTGAGTTTTCTTATTGTCTGTATTATAAGAAAAGTTTTATTTCCATGTCCCTTGGTTTCTCTCTGTCCACTGTATTGTATACATATTGTTGAACTTCTGGATTGCTTATCATTGTTTGAAATCTAATCTCTTTGATTTTTAACTCTCAAGGTTTGTTTTCCATCATTTTTTATGTATTAGGCATGAAATTCAAATTCCCTTTTACAACATCACAATATTTATTGAGCCTCTGACGACTTCAGCGAAGAGTATATAAACCAAAATAATTGGTTTTAGATCAAGTTTTCCTTTCAAAAATGATCAGCGATCAAGTTTTCGAAAAAAATGAAAGGGAATGGCTTGGCTTGGAGAACTCAATTTGTACTCAATAGTTTAGTATCGTATAGCCATTGCATAACCTGAACAGACATGTAGTATCACAGTCAGTCGCTACGCTACCCGTTTCTTGTAGCGGATGCGGAAACCGCGGCGTAAATATTGTAGTGAAAAACATTGTGATTGCAAGGAATAACGACTTTTGAGGACGTGTGTGTTAATCGAGCTTTATGTTTGAAGCCTTTATAAATGATGTAACCTTTTCAAACCCTTCACCCAAGTCAACTCCCTCTCGAATCCACATCCTGCTCGAGACTAGCCTCTCAATTTCCCTTGGAAGAAGTTTGCCCTGGCTACACGAGCACACATCAGCTACCACGGAAAAGGTTTGATCAGTAGCACAAGAGGAAGCTGTTGCAGCTAAATAATCTCGTGCCATTTCGGATAATACAATAAACTTTTCTTTGTGGTCCTACTCAATCAAAGGTTGTTCCTTATATGTCAGTCATGCTCACTGGTCGGCACAGAAAGAGATATTACTTACCGACCACCACTTTAAAGCAGACTTTGGTTCACTGATCGAGTAAGATTGCGTTTTCATAGGATAATTGTTGCGAAGATATTCTGTAAGGCTCAGTTCGTGATCTAATTCTCCTGAATCTTCATCATCACTATACATTATACTAAAGATTCCCATCTCTGTTTGTTTTTCGTTGCTTGGAAGTGCTGATACAGATGCGTTGGCTTGCAAGTGTCTTTGTTTGTAGTCGTTGTAGACTTTATTGAGAGTCTCTGAAGCCTTTATTGAATGTATTGAAGTTTTACCTCCCATAAACTTATGGAAGAACTTGAGTCGAAAACATGGGTGAAGGATTGTTGCAATTACTAAAGTCTCACAAGTAAGAGCCTCTTCTAAATATTGTTGAGTTTGCATTAGCATCTTAGATATCATGGGGTAGTGAGAATCTGTGGGTTTGAGTTGTGAAAGTCGGCTTTCCAAGTGGTTTCGAAGCTCTGCATATCGAGGTATGACCATGGCTCCGGTTGGTCCATCTCCTTCCATCTGCAAATTAAGATCAACAAAAGGCTTTCGAAATGGTATGAGTACTTTATAGAAAATTCAAATAATTTGGATCAATGTTTGAAGTGATCAGCATACCTTGAGTTCTTCGTTGAACAGTCGAATCTGTTCCCACTCAAGTTCACCAATGAGATACCCATAGAAATAACCGTGAGGTTTGTTGTTTTGGCGCGGTGTTTGATTCTTGGAACGAACCCGTGCAAGGTCCTCAGAGCAAAGTTGATCGATTACCTAAGTTAAATGTAAGAGTGTGCCTTTGGTTAGAAACAGGCAGATATCATACTATGAATGGGAAATTGTTTTTTACCTCTCTTGCCATCCACGCTTTATGGCGAGTCTGATACTTTTTGTTCCATTGAATACCGTACCCCGCAATTAGTGATCCCACCGAAGCCTCAAGCCCTTTCTCTTTCACAATCCGGTCAAACGCCTTCCGCCAAGGGCTGGATCGGGTGATGCGTTTAACGATGAAGTCAAGCTAGACGTTTTGGTTGAACAAGAAGCACGGTCAACGAAAATGGTGCGTAAGTAGCACTTTGATAGCTTACTTTGCGCAAAACTTCATTCAACTTCTTCGAGTCCTGTTGGTGTGTAACTCCAATATCTTGTTCCAAAACATGAGTTGGAATATTTTCGTCTTCTTCATCTGCCCTGTCGTACTCAGCTTCATCACCTATTTCTGGACCTAGTAACTCTACATCATCATCTTCAAGCTCTTGAAAATCGTGCGTAATTTCTTCCTCTTCTACTACAGCCATAGGAACACGGGGATCTTGAGGGGCGAAGTTACCGAAGTCTTCAAGCTCAGCTTCGGGTTCTTCTCCTACAACAGGAAAGTGCCCTCGACTTGATGTCTTCACTCGCAGTGGGGACGGTTCTTTAAGTCCTAGCTCGGCAAGCCCAGCATTCACAATACATGCAAGTTTGTGACAGAAACAAAATATCTGCATGGTGGAAGGTTTCCAAGTGTAGTCTGCAGAACTTTGAGCAACGAACTGGTGATGCATTTCTTGTGCTGTGATTAAGTTATTAGAACCAGGATCGGTTGTCTGACAGAGGAGGTATTTTCGAAAAAAAAAGGTGATTGTCAGTACACGCATATTTGATCATCAATCTCAAAAAAGACACAAAGGATTGGATGTTTATCTTATCAAACAGGCCGTGCTTTATCAGCACATTCGCCATAGGCTCAGCAAGCCATGGACCGTGATGATGCCATTCAACCACTTTCAGTGTAAGGTGTCGGACTTGGTACTGCCATTTAGAGTCAATGTAAGTCACCGAGCCTCCGATGAAACCATGTCGATTGCTTTTGGTGGTCCAACTATCATGGATGAGGGTGATCTTGCTGTCAAGTGACTTTGGTTATAAACACTTCAGTCAAGACTTCCTTTTGGTATATTTGAATTTGAATTGCATCTTACTTTCAAATCAGAGATGACCTTTTCTTTGAGAGAAAAGTTAAGTCGGTCTGATTCCTCAGACATCCATTTTCGCCCGTATAGATGAGCATCACGTCGAAGATATTTAACTATTCCTTGAAGCAAATGATCTTCAATCGTGTTTGACGGAAGAGCATTTTGTGCTAACCATATAGACGTCATCTGGTTGAAAGTAAGATTACTGAATTTAGAGCTAGGCGTAGATGTTAGAAAACCATCATTGGTGGGTGTAATCTTTTTCCCCTCAACAACCTCTTTTGCCTTGAGCTCGGCTACAGAAGGTGGTACATTCAATGTTTTATCTTTCTTAGCTTGATTACGACCAGTGCATCCTACATGATTACGACCATCTTGAGTATAACCATCACGATGGGTTTTCAAGTTACCGGTCAAGTTACTGTAACTGACCCGAACAGGATGGGCTTTTCCCCTTTCCGTACAAAACCTACAAGGATAGTTGAGTGCTGGCTTTGAACGATCCTATTTAAAGAAAGCACAAGCAGAAGAAACGTTCAGCTCTTACTTTGGAACCGAAGGCTGGCAGCGGCTCCTGAGGAAACTAATTCTACAAATACTCACTTCTGTTTTCAAGTAGAACGGTTCACCATAATACGCAAGTAGACATGCTTTTTCATTCGCATCAAGATTACGGCTTGTCTTCTTTACTTTTTGGTGATCATCCTCTGAACCGGCTAGAGGTGAATCAATTGTGACTCGTGAAGAACTTTGAACGGCCTGATACAATTTTCCGAGGGGAAAACTTATCAGAGATGCACTACAAAACCAAGCAAACCAAGTCTTTTCAAAGATTACGTACATTAGGGAGAGAAAGATCTTCGCCTGATGGGTAATTCTCCATTTTGGCGATTTTTGATTTTCTTGCCACAGAACCATCAGATTGATTGGCTGATGAATCTGAACCTACCGAGTGGCCACGCTTCTCACGAGGATTCACAACGTCGGAAATTGGCCAGTCACTCAAGGCTCGTCGACGTAAATCATCAGTAGTTGGTGACACCATATCTGGACGATCAAGTTGGGAGGAACGACCAGGGGTGGTACAACCACTAGAGGCTTCCTCGGGAGCTGGCTTGGTGGGAACAAACGATATAGTACTTTGAATAGGCATGACGAGGTCTTAAACGTGACCTAGGAACTATCCTGATTTGTTCTAATCGGATCAAACGCTGTGATGGAGAAAATTGAGCTCGAAAGGATTAATCGGTCGTTGGAAGTCCCTTGATTGACTGATTGTGGGGAGAAGAGCCATGCGCTAACATGCTATGGTAGCGAAGTTCTGTCCGGTAACCTAGCTAAAACCAAACTTAACTACATAAGTCCCTCGCGCTCTCTGAAACTCGCTACGAAAGGTTCGAGTACATAATTCAAGAAGAACCAAGCTGATGATGTGCTTTTGAGCATCCAAGCTAAGCAAAGGGACTTGAAGCTCTACAGAATGAAAGACCTCAAGAAGAACAACCATATAAAGCACACACAATCCAAAACTAAGAAAGAAAAGAAAAACAACCCTTGATTTCAATTCAATTAACAATTCCACAGCATCAGGTGCGTGATGAACTTGACCAGAGACTGAGTGACCATCCCATTTTACCACAACAAAGAAAACATCATGTTTAAATTGACAACCGAGTCTTGGACTTCAGCTATGAATTTTTTGACTATCTCAAATGAGATTAGGATGAATATATACTTGCCCAATGGGTCACAGCTTTCAATTCATCTCACAAGTTCATAAAAGTCCTTTCACATTTCCCTACAAACAGACCTCTTAAACTTTGGGCAATATCAAGACCATGATATTTCAATTAAGATCATTCAAACAAATTTTTATTGTCAATCTCATCTTCTAATCTAAAGTTATATCATTTATTCAAAAGACCAAAGAAAAAAAGCTTGCCATACAACTCTTTCAATAATGATCAATGACTCTATGGAGAACAAACTATCAAAAAAAATCACACCTAAACAAAAACAAAAAAAACAATCTTACATCAATCTAATTCCGATGCTCAAGTTGAGCTCTAAATCCGATCACAAAGTAAATCTAAATAAAAAATCCAAAACTGATTAATTGATTCTAAAAAATTCCAAACAATCAAAAGCCATTCAAATCTGTTTCGTTATTAATCTGTTTTGATTGATCGATAACCTTTCCAGAAACAACCTCTAAGCCTTCCCCAGTATAACTAACCAATGGACTGATCTCTACTTCTATATCTTCTGAAGCAAACTTAGCTCCAGCTTCCATCAACCAACGTTTCTGTTGTGCCAATAAATCCCTTCGACTACTTTCTGGATCATCACTTCCAGTTCCAGGTGCGTTCTTCAAAGGTGAGAATTCTTCTTGACGAGCAACTTCAAGTAAAGACAAAGAATTTGCAAAAGGAAAAACATCGAAGATGAAAAGTTCTAGTTTGATTCCATTCGGTTTAGTAGGCTTCACTAACTCTTTAGTACTGAGATCGATATGAGGAATCTTCTTATGTGCAACATGATAGGCCATCTGAGACTCGAAGGATTCAATAGATTTCAAAAAGTCAAGTGTGTAGAAGTGATTGGCGATGTTGGCAGACTTGAATTTCAATTCACCATTTTCAGCACGACTTGAAGCCATAGAAGCTGACATCTCTGAGTATTCAACTACCGACCAACGTTTCTTCTTGAGTGCTAAAATACCAACACTTTCATCAGGATTTGACTTGACTACCACCTTTGCTCCACAAGGCGTGTTTTTGAAAATTGAGTAGCCTAAAAAGATCGGATCTGCAACTTTGACTAAACAGTTATCCACGCAATAAGCATGAATATATTTGATCCCACGTTTGGTCATGTCTTCAAGTACAGAAACTCCTGAAGAGCACGAGCTACTTGATCGAAGTCCAGCATATAAGCCTCCGTTCCCATCTGGTGCGACGCTAACCCGAGATGGAGTTTCTAAAAACATCTTTCCATCATTGGTAAGAGCCGGAAGTACACCTTTTGGACATTCATCAACAGATATCAATCAATCGTAAATATACAATTCAAACTTCTTTCTAGGTAATGCAACTAACCTTGTTCAAAGAAAATCACATTCTTTTCATCGAGTCCGAAAAATGAAGATTTTCGGAAATACTCTTCAGTAGCTTTTCTCGTTGGACCACTAGTCATCACATACCTAACAAAAATCACAAAAAAATGAGATTTATAAGAAAACCTACTATGATATCTACAACTCGATTGATCAAAACAAACACTTACCAAGGAATGATCGAATGATGTCCAGCCAAGGTTTGTAACCGATCAATTTTCTCAGCTTGAAGTTGAAAAAGACTTTTCTTACTAGGAAGTCCAATATCATAACACCCTTTTGGATCACTACTACCTAACCTAGTACCCTGACCACCTGCCAACAAAAGTACAGCTACTTCTCCACCTTTTATAGCCTTTAATCCAATCTGTTTCCATTCTAAACTTTTACTACTATTTTCACTTTGACTTGATATAATTGATTCAATAGAATCAATCGGTGGTGGTTCTATATCTTTATCATCTGTGGGTTCAGATGAATCACTTTGAGTTGATACTTTAAAAATTTGGTTTACTCGGTTTGGATCGATGGTGTTTAATTGGTTTAAGAGTTGAATTTTTTCTTCTTCCTTTAAGCTATCGTAGAAACTCAAAACGTGCGATTGACCTGCATCGTTGTATCGTTTATGAATCGAATCGTAATCAGACATTTTCTCGTTAAGTTGGATTAATGGAAAGTTTTAGTAAAATTAAAAAGTAAAATAGTTGATGACGAAGGTTGAGTTGAACAGTTTCCGATCGAACTTCTCGATCATTTCATCTTAACTGTTGACGTCATCGTTGGCCCCGAAACCTCTACACACGGTACCAAATGCCACCGCAAATGTCAGCCTTTGATTTTTATGTGACAAGCTGCAGACTGCAGTCTGCAGCATATCTCGAATTCAATGCACTGCCAAGGACTTATGGTTGTCATCAACATAAACTGATCCATTCCAGCAAACATTTTTTGGTGTCTGTTCTTTTCATTCCTCCCTACCTCTGTCCGTCTCTACTCCTTACCTCTTTTTTTCCCATAATTCCACACTGTCTATGACCATGAAATAACTAAATCTTATCCTCAACTCAACTCTTCCAATCCTAAAAAAACAAATAATCATTTCAAATTACCATACCATGCAATAGACAATCAAACCCATACAAACAACTAATTATATAAAATATATAAAGTATATAAAGTACACATATATATACATTACCCAAATATCCTTCATTTTCCTTCAAAAGTTAAACCACAAATCTTACAACACTTTACACATTCACCAAACCAAAATACAACCTAAACCCATCTTTCAATCTTGATTAATCAATACAAAAAGAAGTAATACACTAAAGATAATCTAAGATCAATTTCCACTCACAACCTATACTTCAACTCATTCACACTTCTTCTTCTTCTGTTGCTGTAGCAGTACTCATTCCCATCCCTCTTTGTCCCATAGAATCTATCCTAGAACAAAACCCCGTCCAAAAAAAAACCAAATCAGTTTTCCAAAACCTTCAAAAAGCAAAAAAAGAAAAAACCGACTTTAAAGGTTCTAATCTCATCTTCAAATCTTTTAATCCTTTACTAACCGGTTTCCAATCCCCAAACTCATCTCTCAACTTCCTTAAATCATCTTCAAATAACTTCAAAACCAATCGATCATCCATTAATCCTCTTAAAGACCAAGTTAATAAATACTTATTAGGTTTTTCTTTAGGTGAGAATGAAGAATCTACTTCAAATAAACTACTGGGTAATCTTCTTTTGATCTGTTTGGATTTCGGTTCTATAAATTCTTCAGATAAATAAGTGGGTGATTCTAATGGTGAACTAGTTTCAAAAAAGTATCGTATAGCAAGTCTAAATCAATCCAAAAAATAAAATCAATAATCTTTCAAAACCAAAACCTATCAAATTTGAAAAAAAGCCACATACTCATAAACATCTTTATCTTCATAAACACTAGAATGACCCACCCCACTCAAACTACCTGCCAAAGATTCACTAAGATGGTTCTGTAATCCATGATCAGTAAGACCCGAGTTTTTCAACCTTTGACAAAAAGTCAACAAATTCGTCAAGAAATCTGTTGATCTATATACATCTGAATCAATAAAGATACATCTTAAGATAGATGGATGTGAGATTGAATTAAACAAAGCTGAATAGATTGGTACGACTTGATCGTTTAAGGATCCTACTAATAAGATCTTAATTCCACTTGATAAACAAAAGTTCATACTATTGATGTGCAATCAAAGATCGTCAATTTTTAAGATTAAAAAGATCAAGATCTGTAATTGATCAGTTTTTGCTTACCTAGCTAAAACTGATCTTGAAGCTTTACTACGAGGATCTTGAAATTCAAAAAGCTCATGAGCCGCAGGTCCTTCTAACAACTTCAAAACCGGTTGAAACGTAAAACTATTATTAAGTCCCATAAACGGTCCATTCCAGATCCCACACATACACAACAACATCACTTTCTGAGGCATGATCCCATCGATACGGATCAACCTTTCCATCAACTTACAACTCACTATACTTCCCTGACTATGACCCACCACAAAGATCGCATCCGATTCATGCAAGGCCTTCACCCAATCTTGTCGTTTATACAATTCGTTATAAAGATTCTCGACTCGGTCATCAATCTTTCCATCTCCTTCTAATGGCATCAAAGTAATAAACTCTTGATTCAGACTTCCATTCATCTCTTTCTCAAGATACTCTCGTAATGAGTTTCCCATCATGCTGGAAAACTTTTCAGATGTACCGGTAGGTTTACCCATCAAAGTTTCTAACCATGGACCAGGAAACCATCCATGAATACCAATAACTGAAACCTTTTTGATTCCTTTCAATCTTTCATGTCCATTGATACCTAAAAGCTTTAATGATTTAGGAAGTCGTGTACTGATATGTCGATTCTTTTCAAACACTTTTTGATTCATTTGATCTTTTCTTTCCTGATCGTTTTCAAATCTTACAGAATCATTCAAAGTAGGAGGAACCGAAAACACATAAGCTTGTACTAAATCAATCGTCTTTTTTAACTTATGATTGGTTTTCGATCGGGGTAAGAAAGATCTAGGTGGATGCATAAACGTATCTTCAAAAGTAGGTAAGATCAAATTAGGTATCGTCGCTCTAGCTTTTCCATTAATGATCGAAATCTTGGGAGCTGGAAGTTGACTGTCCGTCAATGGTCTATGAATCTCAGATTTAGGTGGCTCTGGCTCATTATCAGAAGTAGGATTAAGAGCTGATTGCTGAGGTGTTGATGTTCGCCAATACCTACTGGTGAAAGACGAACTAGGTTGTACCGTACTATCCGTCCTCATCAAATCCGCGTCAGTGGTCATCTTCATATGCTTTGTTGAACCTGTATTCATGCTTGGTCCCATTGGTTCTTTTCTTCTCAAACTCGGAATTCTTGCAAGTAAAGATGAAGTAACAGGTTCAGAGACTCGACTCGAGTCAATCGCCTTTGGGTCTTCAAAGCTAGATCCACTTGATCCAATTTCCATTGTTTCAACACTCTTTTGTTCTTCATCTATGTCACGTGCAGGTATCACTCTACGGCTTGAGAACATCCCTGCCCATCCACGACTGTTATTTGGGATTGATTCGGATACCGGATTCGGGATCATGTCACTTAGGCTACTTTTACGCGGATTAGGTGTCGTTTCAGTAGCCGACTCTTCAAGATCGTCATGAGAAGGCTGAGCTTGGTCTGAACCGTTCGGATGGCTTGACAAGGCGGATTGACTGTCGTACCATGAATAAACCCAACTACCCACTCGTGATGTGTAGGTTTGATTGTCGGGATTGTTGGTTGTTGGAGTAGTCTGAACTTCCGGCGTATCAAGTGAACTAGCGTCTATCACACTGGGCTCCTCACTCATTGCGACACTGTGAGTTTCAGAGGGTGTTGGAAGTGGAAAACCTGAACTTGAAGGATTACTCCATCCCCACCAAGAAGTACGAGACGACTTTGTCGAAAGCCCAACTTTAGGACCAGAAGCATCATTCTCCTGCAGAGAAGGTTTATTTTCCTGAGGGTTCAGTGGCGTTTCATCCGGTGGGACGGTCTGGATAGGTGTGGTAGATGAGCTCTTTTGGTCAATGAGATCGTCAGACGGTTTGCGCGTGGAGCTTTCAGTAGAAGTTGAAGCATCGTGAGTGGCTGCAGCAGATGTGAGTATGCTCGGATACCAACGAGATAAATAAGGTTGTGAAGTCTGTGTAGTAGGAGCTGGAGGGTAAGTGGATTCAATGGAAGTGTCGTGGCTGACATGCTGTGGATGTTGGATGGATGAGAATTCAGGAGTACTGCCTAGTGCAGTACTTGGTTGCGATGGTGTTGGCTCATTTGAGACCTTGTTGCTAAAGCCAAACCATGTGGATGATCGCGCTGGTGCAAGTGGTGAATGAGTGATGGACTCCTTAGCATTAGATAGTGTATCGTTTGGGTTTTGGACAGGAGTGGATTTCGATTGAATCTTCTGTCCTGAGGGAGAGTCTTGCACGTCAGATATTTCGTGGCTAGAGGAAGAGGATGGTATTTGAGAACCACTTTGAGGAGTATCAGGTTCGTTTGGAGGAGATGTCGGCTGTATGGTTCCCGCAGACCAAGTGGGAAGCCAAGTAGTTCTCTTGGCCATGCTGGATCGGCGGCGTTGTGAGTCTGATGGCCCTTTGAAAGACTCTTCTGTTGTTGGATGAAAGTCTTGAGTAGGAGAACGCGCTGTTTCTTGACTTGTGCTAGGTGAAAGATTGTGCTGGATAGAAGATATTGGTTCGCGGGTTTTACCAGATTCAAAGGATGAAGAAGAATTCGTGCTGGTTGACTTTCGAATGGAAGAACTAGAGTTGGGCGCAGGAGAGGATGGAGGATGTGCAGAAATGATTCGGTTGAGTGCTGAGCGAGAAGAATGGTCGAATTTCCTTTCGCCTTCTTTACGAAGTGTGAGTCTTGAAGGCGGTGAAGTGACAAACTGAGTGATGGGTTGAGGAACTTGAGCCTTTCCAGGTGTAAGAACTGATGTTAATGGATTATGATGAAGTCTTGAAGTACGTTTAGAAGATGTTGAATCTGATCGAGATGGAGCTTGGATGTTTGGATTGAAGTTTGAAGAAGAAGAAGATTGATGAGATTGCATTGTTCATTAAGTTTGTTTCTTCAAATGATTATGTAAAGCACTTTCATCCAATAATCCAATCAAAACTTGAAATTAGCATGGGTTACCGCTGAAGTGAGAATTAGAACCTCAAAGAGATAGAATCTTACTGCTCAAGATAGAATCTTACTGCTCAAGATAGCCTTTCCCCCGAGTTCTTCAGAGTTGTATGGGTTGATGTGATCTGAAAGATAACCAGAATTGAAGTCAGACTCAATGATCATGATTTCTAGTTGATCGGTTGGTCATATCGACTGATTTGTCACTGACTCCTGAAGATATTATCCAATCCAATTGTATATTTTGTATCGAGTTGAAGTTGGAGAGCTTCAAGTCTCCTTTCTCAATACGAACACCATTCTGAATCTGTCAGGCTAGATGTCACAGATCTGTTACTGACCTGTAGAGCTAGATATCACAGCTCATAACACATTCCATTCAATCCAATCTTGAAAAATTCAAAGTTGGATCGCTTCATTTGATCTCAAGACTCAAGCTCAGCAAGCTCAGCAAGAATTCAGGATTTCATTAAAATGTTATCTCGTCAATCAAGAATCCATCATCATCATTCAAAGCTCATTCAAACAACATTCTCTAGATCTTTTCATTCTTCACATCATCCAAATGAACAAAAACCAACTAATCCTCAAATCAATCAACCTGTCAATCAACCTTCCTTAAATCCTACTTCAAATCAAAAGCCAGTTCAATCATCAGGACATCAATCTTCTCGTAAGTCCTAAGAAACTTTGATATTACAATGATGGTTCAAATTCTAATACTACTCTTTGGATTTCTATCATTTAACTTGTAGGAGAACCGATCAATAAATTCACTCCACCAAATCGTCCTCATACTCATCCCGTATCATCACCTCCCTTCGCAAACCAACAAAACCAAAGAGGAGGGTATCCGAACCAACCCTTCCCCAACACTTTACGTGATTCGAGATACCCTTTTCCCAATCAAGTCACACCACAAGCTTATCAAAACCGTCAAGCTCCCTTTCCAAGGCAAGGAGCTCAATGGCAACCACCACCGAGACCGATCCAACCATCTCATGGGTCCAATCCAGCTTTTCAAAACTTTCAAGGACCTTACCATCCTCAAAGAAATCCATCCAATGTTTCTCAACAGGGTCACTTCAATCCATCTCAAAACTATAGACATGATCCGAATATGATGTATAATCAATCACAGCCTCAACGTCCTCCGTTCCCAGGTCAGTGGAGAGGACCACCTAATCCACAGATAAGATCCATGAACCCAGCGGGATTTCAAGCTAGAGCTCCAGGACCCGATCCAGAAATCGGATCTCCCCAATCTTCCTCAAATGTTCTTTCAGCTCGGAGAAAATCGGGCCCAGGAACTAATCAGGCTTATAGCTTAGATTTGAATGATGTATCAGGATTACATACGATTGATCGATTTGTGGGAAATAAACCGAACCAATCAACCCCCTTAACAAACTCAGCTGTTGATCAGAGTACAGGATCAAGACCAGCTCATCCAAACCAATGGAATCCATCACAATACCCACCACCTCCTCATCATTACTTCCAACAACCGAATTCATCATATGGAACTCCAGGATATCGAGGAGGACATCCATCCTCCGCTCCATCGGCATTCGCTCAACCCCCACCAACTTATCGACCACCGATGCGTGAAGGATCCGGATTCCAAGCTGTACGAGGTGGTGGTATGTCGGCCAACAGACAGGGAGGAAGAGGGGGAGGAGGAGGAGGGATTGGAAGAGGAAGAGGAAGAGGAAACGGACCTGGAATGTTAAGAGGAAGAGGAAGAGGAAGTTTGTTTAATAAGAATGATGAACCTAGTTTACCACCTCCACCTCATTCAATCTTAAATTCAGAAGGCAAATTTGGAGAAGATTTGAATCCGTCTGGATGTCCGTATGGAGAAGTGAAATTAAGTTCGGATAAGTTGATGATCGAATCTGTTGGCTCGAAACCTAAAAAAAATAGTGAAGTTCAACTTGATTTGAGGAACATGACGACCCATCAAACCGTCCTGAACGAATTACTTAACTCTTCAGTTCCGATTCGATTACCAGGATTTGAGAACCCAATTCGAATCACTCCTTTGAAAGATGAAGCGATCAAAGCTCATTATTCGATGGAAAGCCTTACAGGTGGTGGTGTGAGTGATCAGATCAAACGAGATGAAGTGGTGGGAAGAGCTAGGAAATTGGTTAGTCAGAATGGCTCTATGGCTCTTGAGAAGAAGAAACAGGCGGTTGGGGTGGTGGAGTTTTTGTTGATGTCTAGTAAGGAACGGGTTCAGAGGGTTGTTTGAAGTTGAGATCTTCTGGTAAATCGGTTTTCTATTTGCTTGTGTGTTTTTTTGTGAGGGGTGGGTTTGGTGGTGGTGGTGTTGGATTTTATAAGATCATGTGCAAAAATTGGTATCAATAGATATCTATAGAAAATTACTTCAATGACATTCTAGTTTATGTCTAACTTGATTGGTGTTTTTGCGTCTAGACTTGAACTTTACTCAGTTTTTCCTTCAAAGAATTCTGAACAGTTTGAACTTCACGTTATAACTTATAAGATGATTTATTCAAATTCTTGAAGAATTATAATCATCTGTTTTGGAAAACACTCAGGCCCAGGGTTTAGAACATGCAGGTAATGAATATTAAAGTTGAGTGTCATTAGAAAGACTTTCAACGAATTCAATCAACACAGTCCCCACAATAGCCAAGAACAAAGTACCAAGAGGGGATTGATTTGTGGGAGTGTGTTGTTTTGTCTGTTTGTGTTTTAGTACCCGTGGCCTTTCAGAGAGTGATCGGAGTGATCGGGCCCCTACATATTACATAGTGCATATTACCACCAGTTTAGTATGTATTACCACCACAATGAGAATATGAAATGAACGCTTCTGTTCTTTATAAGTGACCCCAGATCCATTCTCATCGCTGGTATCTCTCATCATCATCATCATTAGCTCTTCAAACTTCTGTTTCAATCAAACGTTTCAAAACTGAAACCCTAATCCAATCACCAAATCTCTACAATGAATACCAAAGAAACCTTCAATTTACCTACCCAAACCCAACTGAAAGATCACTTAAAACTTTTAAAAGCATTTTCAAATCTAAAACATCAAGTTCAATCATCCTACAAATTCAATTCCATCAACTTAACTTTGAACAATGATAATGAGTACAAATTTAATATCTTTTTACATTTGGCAGTCGATCGATTTGAAAAATGGTTAAAGATTATGGGTCATAAAGGTTATAAAGAAATCCGGTTGGATGATTTACCTCCTTTGGATGTACTTATGGTTTGGCATTCTTATTGTTTAAATCCTAGGTTAGTGTTTTTTCTTCACACTTTCCAAAAAAAGGTTAGTTTTCTTTACTTTTTTCTATGAATGATTTGAATATTTTGGATGATAATGTTTATGTGATAATTGGATTGGGTTTTACTAGATGGTATTGTGAAGATAGTCTTAGGTTACATTCTGGTTTACGGATTCCTTTTCCTTTGGAAATAGCGGTTAGTTTTTTTTTTGAAAATTCTCAATTATTACCCATTTATACTATGACTTCATTGGGCTTTTTGATGATCCAAACTGATGATGACATGAATTCTGGATAATGAATCAAAGGCCAGTAATATTCAATTCGATTCCACTGGCGACGTAATCACCAGTAGTCTTAATCCTTCTCAAGAAAAAAGTTGGATTTCTGAAGTACCATTCGATCCAAGACTGAATGCTTCCATCTCTTCAGGAAGAGTTATAAGCTGTCCTAATTGTCAAGCTGATCTTCACTTAGGTCAGTACTTATCTATGACCTCACTCACAAACTTATGAGTCACTGATCTAACTATTTTCATAGCTTGGACCAGTGCCGATCATACTGGTTGGGTCGATGAGGCATGTTTGATAAAATGTGATGAGTGTCAGGAATGGTCAGGTGATCGATTAGTACTTGGAAGAGAACGATTCATCTCTGATCTTCGTCAAGTAATCAAATCACCCGTTGACCATCACACCATTGCGTAAGCACTCAAGACTTGTCAAACCTTTCCTAATAGATACCTTCATCATTGACCTTGAATATGGTGCATTCAGTGGAACATTGACAACTTTACAGAACCTAACCGATTTTGAAAATGCAACTAGACTGAAATTAAACTTGATCAAAATCATCACTGAATCCGGGACTTCACTCGATTCATTAAGTGGATCTTCAATCGAAACTATTCTCAAAAAATCTTCACCAAAAGCAAGATGGTAAATCATACTTGATTGATAGATTCCTCAAAAGATGTTTAATTTCTTTAAACCTAATTCGCTGGCTCTTTTCTTGACTCTTTCAATTGAGCAGGCTTAGAAGATCATTAAGTGCTTATAGTTCTGGTACTCCTTTTTCAATTGATCTAGCTTCAGCTGTAAGTAAACTCCTTCACATTTTCCATCTTTAGAATATCATTCGACTTTTTCTTTACTACTTTTTGAGTAGAAAAAGAAGCTCAACTGATTCATGAATCTCTTTGGTTGTTGATTAGGTGATTCGACAATCATCTTTTGTAGGTAAGATGGTGGATTTAGGGTTCACTAACTTGATTGAAACTCGTGATGGACAACCAGTCTTGCAAAGGTGTTTGGATCGATACCAAGCGTTAGTTTTCTTATTCCTCAATCTGTCACTCGATTTTCCTGATTTGATTATCATTTGATAGGTTTTTAAGCCTTATGCGTAGCGATTCTTCTACCTTTTTTGTTCCAACTATAGATATGTAAGAATCAAATCATTAACTTTACTCAAGCTTTCATCCAAATTGTGAATTGAATCTTGGGTTTGTTTTGAAATTGTAGTGATTTGGCTTGGCATACACATCAGTTAGTTCGTGGATGGAAGTATTGTCAAGATACGATTGATCTTGTAGGAAGACTTGTAGATCAGTTAGTCTATCTCTTTTTTCCCAAACATTTTTAGATTTCAGTTTATTTTCATATTTACGTATTTTTTGGATTTTTGGTTGTCAAGTAATGATGATGTTGAAGAAAGTCAACTTTCTGATTCATTTGAAAAAACATCGAAAGCTTGGAAAGTAAGTCAACTAACTTCTCAATAAGCCCTTCAAGGGGTTTTTTCTTTTCTCATTTGACTCTTCATCATGAACGTATGGTCAAAGGTTTAATGATTTGATTTGATTTGTAGGATATGTTTGGTGTGAGTTATTCTGGATGTGATTGTTCATTAGATCATTTTGAAGAAAAAGATCAAGTTTGTAAAGAGATTATCACTTTACTTGATCATGAACTTCAGTTTGAGGAACCGATCTTTAAACGAATTGATGATCACAACCGTTCTGAAAGTCTTGGGTTTTCTGAAACTGTGAGGATCATTTTCTATCAGATATTTCTTACTCGAGTGACATAATAGGCTGAAGGTTTTTATTTTCTTTTTTATAGAATGGTTTCGTATTTGATAATTTAAAACAAGTGATTGGATCTGCTTGTGGTGGGTGTGGTGGAGGTGGTGGGTGTGGTGGTTGCGGTACTGGTGGTTGTGGAGCTGGAATTCAATCATTTCAACAAAAGATTTCTGCTTGTGGTGGTTGTGGAGGATGTGGGAGTGGAGGTTGCGGTAGTGGAGGCTGCGGAGGTGGGATGCTGAATTCTTATAATAAGAAGATTTCTGCCTGTGGAGGATGCGGAGGATGCGGGAGTGGTGGAGGATGTGGTGCAGGAGGATGTGGAGGTGGAATGCTAGAGTCTTTTAATAAAAAGATTTCTGCTTGTGGAGGATGTGGTGCAGGAGGATGTGGAGGGGGATTAGTTTGAACTCCAAGTCTAGTATACTTTCTTGATTTGTTTTAACAGATCATTGGTTTCTGAATTCCCCTTCAATGGTTCATTTCATCTCTATTATGGATATATGTCTAGTCATTTGTTGTATTTCTTTTATGAATTGTATTATTGATCATTTATGAAATCCCAACTCATTTGAATTTTGAATTTTGAATTCTTATTTAAATTTGATGAGATGAGTTGGTCAAAGCTGATAGAAATCTTTTTGGGGGGGATTTATTGGAGGTGATAGGTTAGCCAAGGTCAAGACTAACAAATTATAAGTTCTAAAGCATCTTATTGTTTGTTCTTTCTAGCTATATACTGAAGCTATACCCAAACCAGATTTGCTACCTTGCTATGCATTATCTTTTGAGTAAGACCCAAGGTGATCATCAATGCACAACACATAAATCAAGAAAAATTCACAAAAGCTTCAAGAAATTTGGTTGATCACCTTTTCTTTTCCTTTCACCTTTTTTTCTGGCAAGTAAATTCCTCAAAGAAGAAGAAGAAGAAGAAGAATTGATTAGTGCATTCAATCTTTAACTTTGTAAAACTTGTAGCGTGTTGCACATTTGTACCCCAAGAGTCTTGAATTGCCATGAAAGAGGATGTGTTACCTCTGACCTATTGGGAGTGATTCATTTGACCAGCTCACTGATATAATGATGTAAATCAATTTCAAGTAATAATACTTTCACTGTTTAAAAGAGTGTTTATCATCAAGTTTCCAGAGTTTGTGCTACAAAAGCGGATTCTGGATTAAGGATTGAATCTTTATTTGAAGAAGAGAGAAAGAAGGATTTTTGACCAGAAGTCCTAAGATTCAGATGGCCAACACGGTGTGCGTCACACCGTATTAGTTGTCATCTGAAACGAGATCTCTCAAGGAGTACTCAAAAGATTCACCTGGCAGGATTTCCAAAGAGGCCATGTGAGGTGATTTACTTTTTGAAGAACTCGTCAATAACTCAAGTTAAGCCACAGATAGATTGTGAATTGAGAATAGTTGATTGGAAAGAGAACACATCTCATGGAGTGGAAGCCATTTTCAGAATTTGAAGCACAGCAGGACGGCGGCCCCGATGATTCGGTCCGATCGAGAGTTGTATTTCGATCTGATTACTGGGAGTGGTGTTGCTGATAAGTAACTTCAAACTGCTCAACACTTCAACACACTTCATTCAAAAAAACATGGGTAAGCATTCATTTCTTCATTATCAATCAAACCATCAAACCATCAAACCATCAAACCATCAAACCATCAAACCATCAAATCACTAATGATGTTTTCTAAACTGATCAACAGTCTTACTCTTAACAATCGGTGATCTTCATATACCACTTAGAACTCATGATTTACCTTTAAAATTTAAAAAGTTATTGGTGCCAGGTAAGATTGGTCAAATAGTTTGTACTGGTAATGTTTGTGATAGAGAAACTTGGGAATATCTACGTTCGATTGCACCTGATGTTAGAGGTGTAAGAGGTGATTTTGATGAGGTTAGTCTTTCCTATATATCTTGAATTCTTAACTAATGACTTCCTTCTCAAGAACATTTTTTTCTTTCTTGAATATCTCTAAAAAAAATCAAAGCTCAAACAAAAATATTATTCTTCATATCCTTTTCTTCTTCTCTTCTTATCAACATCAATTTTGTTTCTTCTATAAATCCCAATCAAACAAATTTCTACATTTTCTTTTGGACCGATTATAGACACCTAATCTACCACCTTCTCTTACTCTACAACATGGATCACTCAGAATCGGTGTTCTACATGGTCATCAAATCGTTCCTTTGGGTGATACCGAATCTTTGGCGGCTGCTGCTAGAAAGTTAGATGTGGATGTCTTAGTCACAGGTGCGACTCATAGGTAAGAGATACTCTATGAATTTGTCTGGCTCAACAAAACCGTAACTAAAAAGTAAATTGATATCTTTGCTTGTTTTTACATGATCTGTTTGGATAAAAAAAAGATTTGAAGCATTCGAATTCGAATCCAAGTTTTTCATCAACCCAGGAAGTGCTACTGGAGCCTTTACACCCATGTGGCCCATCAATCCACCTCTTAGACCTTCAAATACAAATCAATCATCACTCAAATCACCTGTACCTAATTCAACACAACTTAATCCATCTATCCCCAATGAAAAGAGTCCCAACGAAACATCTACACCTACTTCACCCAAACCATCAAGTTTGAATCAAACCCCTTCAAATGAATCTCAAAAACCAAGTAGTCCTCAAAAATCAGATGAAATACGAAACGATGAAACCGTCGGCAAGGAATCTAAAGAATCTGCTCAAGAAATCGATGGATCTGGAAATCCTTTGAATAAAGAACCACCACTTTCAGAAGAAGAGTCAACTGCTTTACTTTATCCTCCAGGTCCGATTCCTAGTTTTGCTTTACTTGATATTCAAGGATCGGTAGTGGTGACATATGTCTATCGTTTAATAGACGGTGAAGTCAAAGTTGAAAAGGTATTTAGATCTTCTTTTGATTCAATCCGATCTCATCAACTAAACCTTTACTGAATGATAATTCTTTGTCCTTGTGAAAATCTCAATAGATTGAATATCGTAAAGAAATGCCCAATGCATAAATTAATACGAAGCCACGCGTCGTACTATGCGCTTTTAATTCGACAATGTATTCACAATCAACTCATGATAGTTTTCTTCTTTGATTTACTTTGTTTTGTCTCCTTCCTTCTTCGATATTCAAAGATCTCTCTTCTTTCCTTCACCACCAAAGTGACATGAATTTTGCTTAATCTATCTTTTGATTCATGTTGTGACTGCTTTGAAATGAACGCGTATTTGTACTTTGAAGTAACCTTTGCTGTGAGGTTTTGTGATTGTGGGTTTGGTCGATCCTACAGCAAATGTCGGAAACCTGTCTACCGCGATATCATTTATTGAATTCAATGATGATCGCATTCAGAATTTGGCTGTTGTCAAATAATCAGATGAGGTTCAATTTTAGGGATCTTGGGTTTCAAGAAAAAAAAATCAACTCAATTCGTCAATCACTGACACCACTTCAACGAAAATAAGTCTTCATTGACAAATGAGATGAAAGGTTAGAGAGTGGTAGTTGGTATTGAACCTCATGATGTTCACAAAAGTTTTGTTTACCAAATGGAATGTAAAAGTACATATTTTTGAATTGGATATCATCAAGTAGAAAAGTTAGGAAGTTGAAGCCAAATGAAAAAACATCATGTTGAGAAAATAAATAAAATGTAAACACTAAATACAAAATAATAATTGTGATATATATAACCCATATTCAATCAAATACATAAAACCTAAAAGCAAAATTATCAATGATCGATCCAAAACCAGTTCATTAACTAGCCATCAAGAAAGCATATCAGTTATCTTGATCATTCATTCTGATTTCTCATAATTGCATCAGCCTGACTTTTTTCAGTAGCTTTCTTAAATACTAAATCACCTTCTTCTGACCATTTCTGACGTTGATGTGATTCATACTCATCAGGATAATCTAACCATCTTTCTTGAATTTCTGATAAACTTTCGATTGGTAAATGAGTGATTCCTAATGATTGATTAGAGTCTTGGTTTGTGGGTTCGTTTGATGAAGTTTGATTTGGTACGGTTTCTTTTAGAAATGAAGATGTGCTTGAAGAATAATAGCCTAGTGCTTTGTCTATTGCTAAAGTTAGTTTTGTCATTGATGCTTTATCCTATAAAATCATGATGATTTATAATAATTTAAAACCAAAATCTTTAGTCTTTTTAAACTGCCTGAGATTTCAAAAAGGTAAAGCAAATTGACATACTTCTACGTATAAAGTTTCGAATCCTACTAAATTGAAATCTTCAATTAAATCAATCATAGCACGATTCAATTGACTAAATTTAGGAGTAGTTTGTTGATCTAGAAGTGGTAAAAGATATGAAAGGTCTTGAACATCTGTATAAAAATCTAAATTTAATTCTAGAAAAAAAAATCATTCAAGTTTTCGAAGTTCGAAGATTATATAAAAAAACCAAAAGTAAAACAATGTCAGTTTATCAACGAGAAGAAAAAGTACAAGGAAATGAAGAGGTAAGAAAAAGGGTTTCCTTACTAAACTCTTCATTGAGACCTTTAAGAAGATCGATTTTACTTAAGACATTGATATGAGGAAGTCCTAAATTAAGCATAGCTTTTAAGTTAAGTAAAACGATTGAAACGTATTTTGCTGCATCCACAATATGAGTAGCATCAGTTAATTGGACAACAGCTAGCTTGTTGAAGAAAAAAAATAAACAAATCAAAAGGATCTCATCAATTTCTAAAGAAAAAAGAATACGAAGAATGTAAGAATTAATCATCCACATACCCTCCAATCTAATTTTTCTAATTTATGTAAAATGTTTTTAAGACTTTGATGATCAGTAGAAAGTTCAATTTGACCAGGTAAATCAAGTACAATAAAAGGATCGATTTCTTGATCATCATTAATCTTAAGTTTTTCAATTAACCAATCTAAATGATTTTCAAGATATTCTAAACAAAATAAAATCGATCCATTCGGTCCTAATCGATTATAAACCATCACTTCTTTTAAATTAATTAATTCTCTAATATCTATACTTGTTTCATATGGGATTTCTAGTACGGCTGGATCTAAATTAATTATAATTGATTTTCTTCCAATGGCTTTGAAATACTTGATAAATGTTTTTTGACGAAAATAATCGATGCATTAGTTAAGAGATTAAATCTGAAAGTAAAAGATTTTCTTTTGGTATGGATTTACTTACTTGTTGTAATCCCCAACAATATGTTGTTTTTCCGGATCCAGGTGGACCAATCACGACTTGTCCGAATCCCATTTTGTCTTGATTTGATTCGATGGAGTATGAAGTAGAAGAACAAGGGATGAACAACAAATTTCCCAATTGAGTCACACTCCATAGGGTATCGACTATCGGGTCTAACCCGAGCTCCCGAGCCTCGAATCCGCCACGGATCTTCAAAACGAGGCTCAAACGAGGTACCGGCTTCAAACCACACAGTCTCACTGTTCACAGGAGTCTTGGAGATGGTGTGATCACAGATGACTTTTTGTTCCAATATCTATCTTGCCAAATTGGTCATTATGAGCCTCCCAATGTGCCCATTTGCCTTTTTTAGCATTGAACACATCACTGATAACCAATTGAGCTCGATCACTGCTATTTTTTTTGTTTCAATTTCATGTTGAGATGAGCTGAGAAAGCCATGGAAGCTACAATCTCCAAGTCATCCACTCACAACACCTCCATCCTCTGGTCAAAAATTAACCAGAATTCTTACTACTCACAAAGATCATTTGATAATAGATGTTCTCTTGGTATGACTTAACTCTGGCAAAATTATCCAAGTTCAACTGACTGTTTGTTATTGCAAGAGATTCACAAAAATAAAATATGATTAATAGATACTGTAAAAGTTAAACCATACCAAATATCAAATTTTGATGGGAAACAAGTCAAGTATGAATTTCATAAAGTGATAAACACAACCTCAAGCTCACAGTAAGAATTTCATACACAAAGATTGATCACAAATCAAAGGAACAATAGACAACAACCAAACTGATAGGAACTAAAGATTGAATCTCAGCTTTGATGGACCTACAAGAGCAATCTCAAAGTATTAACCCAGTAACACCTAACACCCAATCATTGAAGTGCACATTGTATTGGGCCCAATAGCGGCTGGTGGTGTAGCCACTATGTGAGATTAGAGGTTACATTAAAGTATGTGTCATGACTCTAGCCGCTAGTAAAATCAAATATTTAGACTTGTGATCTTCAAGTAACCACTGGCCTTCCCTTTTCAATTGTGACTTGGTAAAATGCAATGTGTTTTTAATTGGATTAATATTGGGTAAATAAGCTGCCAAATGGATGACAAGAATTCCAGAATTTCTTGGACAAGCTCAAGAATCCTTCCTCTGTGGTGAAGTTGATCATTGTCTAATATGAGCATTGAGTAGGGAGCTGGAGATGTGGTCATGGCAGGAAGCTAGAATTGACGATAAATCTAAACACCAGAATAAATTATGACTTGATGGAGAGCACAGATATAATTTCTTACCAAGTCATTTCTGAGAAAGAGATCCATGTCAATCCTGTGGACAGGACCTTCTATCACCACCCCTGTGATCATCCCCTGCTGGCTTACTGCAGGGAGTAATGTCCAATGAGATTGCTTGGTGTATGACACACCTGGCATTTGGTTTTTGAACCATGCTTAACCCAACTATGTTTTTGAGTGGCATCACAGCTCACAACACAACTTTCATCTGGAAGTCAGAACAAGTTAGCAATCAGATCAAAGAACAAGTAAAAACAGATCAACTATGTACCAATAAAAACTGAATATTCTGGTGGGATTCAAGCCAACTGCACCATAAAGTCTGTCCATGCCTAAGGGACTGATTTGGATGAACAGCGCAAGTAACCAAAAGACATAACCCTAGGTGGTTGCAGACTTCTTGTGATAAGGTTGCACAAGAGATGCTCAAATCTGTCAAATCAGGGAGCAGTTTTTGCAACTTGTCCAAGTAAATCAAGGGACAATCATTCACTAGAGCCTAAAGGATGGTGAATGATTGTCAGAAAAGATGTGAGGTTGACCAATACACTTTTGGACTCCATGGTTGGTCAGACCAAATATTCATTTCCATTGGAAGATTGAAACCAGAGAAATGGAAGTGCATAGGCAGAAGTTGAAATTGGCAAGGGGAACATTATTCCTGGCCAACTGAGTAGCCAGGAGATTGATGTCTTGTGATTGTTGTCTCCTATCCATGTTTGAGGGTACAAAATAACAGGTGCTCAGATGAATGGAAAGAAACTCAAGAATGGGAATGGGGAGCAGTGTGAGGGAAAACAATTCAATCAATGGGGTTCACCCCAACAAGTAGAAAAAAGGAAACAAGAATAACAAAGAGTACCTCTGGCATGGAATACATGAACATAAGCCCATCTCAAACCTGACATGGTTCTAAAAAACCTGGTTGACCCAGTTGACTTTTGGCTGGGATCTGTCAACAAATGTGAACTTTATATAAAACATTACTGCCAAAAAGTAACTGGGTCAACCAGGTATTTTTGGAAGCAGGTCAGGTTTGAGAGGGGCTTTAGTTCCCAAAATTGCCAAAAAACCACCCAAAATCCAATGAGCTCTAAGCCAAATCCTGACCACATCTAGGGTGTCAGCCCTGAGCCCTGATTACACGACCACGGGCTAACAGTTACATATGTAATATTACATTATTGTATAAATCCATAAGTACATCTCACGGCTCAGTGTCAAGAGCCACATAAACACATCTCTCCAAAACTTTGGAAAACCTTTTTTTGAATAATCACAGAGGAATGGAAATGTGAATACAGGTACAACAACAAAGATCATTTATCACATAGTGATAGAGGTCCACAGTTTTACTGTGATTATTCAAAAAGTTCTGGACAAAAACTATGGCTACAATAGACATCCAATCTATGTTTCTTACTATGTTGTTTAGCAAGCTCACAATTGAATAGTTTGATATGCTGTGAAGATACTATTACCATGGCATCTATCATCTCTCTTATACTTTCTGACATCAAAACCATCCCTGGGCACAGCTGGCCTAGATTCAGACCTCTTGGTTCAGGGAAACAAACAGTGAATTTCAGAAGCATTGAGATGTACAAACATATATACTCACAAGGCCTAAACACATATGTCAATATATCAATGGCCAAGTCTAGTGGTTGTGAGTAAAAGTTGTGCTGTGGTGTAGGACATCTTGTCTTACTACATCTCACTTGCTACCTATATATCAATGTTCATTGGCAATGTATTCATAGGTTGCCAAAAGTTTACATGTGAAGCTTTTTGAACAAATATGTTAATACTGTTGTATCTTAAAAGTGATCAGTGGAAACACCTTACATCATTACATATCCTCAGGAAGGATTAAAATGACTTGATGAGATTCTTGAAATGATAGAGATCACACTTTATCCAGCTCACCAGCTCACCTCATAACCAGTTGTAGTCAGTATTCCTTTGAACATGATCCAATTTCAGCTAGATATGAATATTCCAGTGATGTATACAAGATATCTCACACTGCCAATATAATGGTTACTTCCCACCAAAGACACAACATGATAAGTGATTTCCATTGTTGCTAGGAGGGTAAGGGAAGGCTAGGTGCACATGCAACATTACATACGTGACATAGTTGCAGGGTAAGTACACAGAAGAGAAGAAGAGGAAAATTTTCCTCCTCTCCTTCTCACTGATCCTTACCTGTACCAGTTGACAATATAGCAACAAGTCTCTTCAAGTCGTTTGGCAGCTGGAAAGAGTCAATCTTTAGCACCCACCCACCATCCCTAGGCTAGGACAGGACTCTCTGGTACACTTTCAGGCACTTTATGTAGTTTTAGAGCACTGAGCGGACCAGGGTTTAGACCACTCAGGGCTTCAAATGTAAGCCCTGGAGTGGCCCCCCAGTCCCAATCCCAGCTCAAGGCCCCCCCACACTACTCTCAACTTAGTATAAACTAGGTTAGGGTAGCATAAGGCTGAGAGACCAATAAATAGACAAGAAAGACTTGTAACCTAGTACTTACCCGTATAGTAGAGATGAATGCATTTCTCCAAGGTGAAAAATGATTGCATTTGATGCACAAAATGATCAATCATGCAGAATTAATGCACAAAAATCTGGATTGAATTTAATCATTTTTCACTTTGGAGAAACATATTATATTTGCAGTGTCAATGGACTGGTTTCTGTGTTGGAATTGTTGAGGAGCACATCAAGAAAGCTTACTAAACTTGCTTGGAAGTTGACAATGAGGTACCTGTGTATGTTGGATAACAATTCAACAAGACAATTCAAATGTTTTATTTTTTTGTTTGTTTCTGTGCATTTGGTTTTGAATTTACAATCAAGCACCGTGTCCGGGTAGTGTTCGCTTGTCAACGAGCGCACACGACTTTCCTTTCTACCTCAAAGGGAGTCAGTGTGCGCTTCTTGACAAACAAACCCTACACGGACACGGTGAAGATTTTTAACAAATTTCAACAATGACTGACTTCTTCAAATCAATTCCAGCCCTTTTGGTAAGTCTACAAAACTTGTTTAGTAGATCACTTATAAGATTCTTTGTAAGATTTCTCATAAGGCCTTGCAGGAAAAATATGAGCAGAAATCAATGAATGGTATGACATTGAAAGACAAATAATGAACTCACCACATGACACCATGTCCTTGTGGCACTTGCCCAACAAAAAGAGCACACGGACAGCCTTTGAGGCACAAAGGCGACTTGTGTGTGCTCATTGATGAGCAAACACCACACGGGCATGGTGTGTGCTGTTGAAAATGCAAAGTGAGGTATGATGGATTGAAACTGGATTTTGTTAGATTTTCAGTAGATTTTTTTTACTGGATTTCATCAAACTTGAATACATTATAAGCCAGTCTCAAAGCAAACCTGGTACACCTGGTTGTCTTTTTGGCTGGGAGGTGTCAAAAATCTCAACTCAATACACAAAGTTACCACCCCAAAAAGCAACTGACTGGGTGTACCGGGTTTGCTTTGAGACTGGCTGTTTTTGTCACCATTCAAGGGTCTCAAAATAAAAAAAAACTCTCCATAGAAATTAAAAATCTATTTTCCATCTGTATGGATCTCAATTATTCTCAAAGTTAAAACCCCTATAATTTCTAGACAGACCTCCAATCTTATATTTCACAAACTCTTCAAAAACTGTCCTTGTAATAGACAATAATACTGATCAAAAAAACTTTTTCTTATGGAGTTAAGAATTATTTGAAGTTTAAGTGATTTTACATCTTATATCAGGTAATATCATTTCCCCAAACTTCCAACCAAACTTTACCATATCAAACATCTAGGTCCTTTTCAAAAACAAACCAAAACAAAAACAAACAATTTTCTACAGATGATCTATTACACAAGACCTTCCTTACCAGTCGACTCCAACCAGTATACATTTACTTTTTTTTACCAAATTCATGTCAGCCATACACTGAAGCCATAATAATTCAATCTTTGAAAGAAAAAAAACTTTTGGTTTTATTCATTTTGTAATTTAGTGTAATAAAAGATAAATCTTGATGATGATTTTGGTGATGATTTATTAAAAAGTTTCAGATGTAATCAAAAAAATATATACAGATTGAACAACCCATCAACAAACTTAATAAAAGAATGAATATCATATTTCATTTACAAACACACACATACAACACAGTTGACACATAATATCAAATTCATCCTCCACTAACACACCATACCAAAAAATCAAAATCCCTTTCCCTCATGCACCAGTACTAGTAAACTAGTAAACTGACTCTGTACTACAAAACCCCAACTTAACCCAAAACAAATGTGTGTGTGTTTTTTTTGGGGGGGAGAAGTAAAAACCATTTTTTTCACAAGATAAAAAAAAATTAATTTTTTTTATTGTATATCAAAAAAATATGCCAATAAGAAGACAAAAAAACAAGAGAAAGAAAAAAACACAAGAAGAAAATTCACAACTTGATAAAAAATAAAGAAAAAAATCACACTAACACACAACACACTAACACACAAGACACAAGACAACACACAGACACAACACAGACACAACACAAATAAGTTTTGATTTTTTATATTGATGACTACTTTTAATAAGAAACATAAGACGTAGAACCCCAATCAAAAAAAAATGAACACACACACACAGAGAGACAAAAGAGAATGAGACTCCCAAGAGGTTTTTCATTAAGAACTTATAAAATTTTCTTTCTACTACTTTACTAACTTTGACTCTCATCAACTACAAAAAATGAAAACACTCAAACACTCAAACACTCAAGTAAACACTCAAACACTCAAGTAAACACTCAAACACTCAAGTAAACACTGAAACAATCAATCAAACAATCTAACACTTAAACAATCTAACACTTAAACACTCAAAGATAAGAAAAGAAAAGAATTTTTTAAAAAAAGAAAACACTTCCACAAAAAAAACAAAAAAAGAAATTAAAAAAGATCATGTGAATGTAAAAATGTAAAGATGTAAAGATGTAAATGAAAAAGATGAAAATACGAAGATAAATCACATATTCAATCAACCAAAAAAAATGAGAAAAGTTTTAAAAGATAAAGAAGCGAGGAAATAAAAAGTCAAAATAAAAAAGTTGTAAAAAACCAAATCAAGATCCACGCAAAAAACCCTCAATATTTATCAAAAAGACGAACCCCCCTCATCTGGCACCTTCTATCTATACCTCTATAAGACCTCCAAAGAAGCGACCCAAGAATCCTTCAAGACTTCCTCAATATAAACCCGATGTTCCGGTTCAGGTGACCAAATCTTTTTAATAATCAATCTAGATTCTTTAATCAAATTCGAAATCGGTGGTGGTGAGTTTGTACCTGATTCGAATGCTTGTAAATAAATTTGAAAACTTGGATCATTCTTCTTGGCTACTCTCCATGGTAATTCTTGCATACAACAACAGTAATAAACTATTCCACATGCCCAAACGTCTACTAATCTTGCATCATATTCTTTTCTTTCAAACATTTCTTTGGCTACAAATAAAACAAACAGATTAGATTGATGAACAGGGTTTTTGTTTCGTTGGGAAAAGACAACTTACGTAAATAAGGTTCAGAACCACAAAGACCTTTACTAAGATGAGTCGATTTTTCCCAACACATTCTAAAGACATCCGAAACCCCAAAATCAGTAATCTTGATCTTCCCCTTTCCATCCAACAACAAATTCTCCGGTTTGATATCCCGATGAGCCACTCCCATTCGATGTAAATAATCTACACCTAATAAGATTTGTTTAAAGTATGAATGAATCTCTAATTGGTTCATCGATCCTCTTTTGATAGCTGCATATAAATCTCCTCCTGGACAATATTCCATCACTTCACACCAATGTTGATTTTCATCTTGTACTAAATCAACAGTCTCTACTATGTTTTCATGATGACTTTAAATTATAAAAACATCAAGTCAGAAGAAAGACAAAAAGGTTGATTAGTTTTTGAATTATCGAGAATTGTGAAAGAATGAATGGATTACTAACAGAGTAGAAGAGATACAAAACTCGCTCGTCAATTTCTTAACATATTCCTTTTCACTTTCATTCTTTCTACGTTTACGAAACTCTTTAACCGCATAAAGCTTATCAGTTCCTCTATCCCATTTATGTGCCAATCGAACCACAGCCGTAGCACCTTTTCCAATCGCTGCTTTTTCACATACACCATACTTTTTCAATAAGGTACTTGTACCGGCTTGTGATTCTGATTTACCATCTTCCGATCTGGCTCCTTTTGATGAAGAGGATGGTTTTCTTCCCAACTTGCCTCCTACCATTTCTCTTAATTTAGATGATGATGATAAAACAACGACTTTTTCTTCTGGATTCGTTGGTTTTTCATTAGCTGTAGTCCGAACACTTGCATTCAAAAGTTTACTTGCAAGTCCTTCAGGAGCCGTTGCCTTTTTGATCCCATTATTAGCTTCACCGATTATTTTACTATTTGTTTGAGCTCCGTTTGGTTTGTTACCAAGAGTAGATCCAGCAGCCGAATGATTGGATGCTTGACGTGAAAGGAATCCCATCATACTATTGCCTGTTTCAGCTCCATGATTGGAACCACCTCCATCTGATCGTTTATCACTCGACTTACGTCCCAAGATTGTCGATTTCTTATTATTACTCTCTCCACTTTCATTTCCACTATTACCTCCATCTACACTCGTACCATGTCCTCCTATACCTCCTTTACTGTCTACTTTTAAGTCTCCACTATGGGCTCGTTTTTCAAATAGTTTTCCAAATACACTTTTACGTTCAGGTTGAAGTTGAGATTTCTATTGATTTTCAACCAAACGTAACAGAATCAGTGATGTGAAATAGGTAAGAAAACAGATGAAAGAAAAAAAAGGAACTCAGAACGGTTTGTGCTTCAGCAGGTTTGGTAGCCACATCTAGTTTAGTCGTAGGAGCTAGTTTAGGAGCATGTGAACCTAATGCAGAATGTGATCTTGGACTTGTACCCCGAGTAGGAGATGCAAAGGTAGTATGTAAGTTTTGAGTAGGAGTTTGATTGGTAGGAGTGATAATCGATTGAAGAATAGGTTGGTTGTTGGGATTGATGATGATTTTAGATTCATTGAGAGTATGAATTGAATTTGGATCTGAACTTAATAGATGATGATAAATCGGTTCAGTTTCAAGTTGATTCGGTTGCTGAGTCGCGATGATGTGTTTAGCAATAGGAACCGTCATGGCTGGAGTGAGAGTAGTTTGATTGTTGTTGTTGATTTGATCAAGAGTAGCTTGGTTGTTATTGATTTGCTGAAGATTAGATTGATCTACTTCAAGTTTGATTGAAGCTTGACGAGGAGTAAGAGAAGAAGAATGTAAAGAGAGTTGATTGAGAGGGTCTAAGATCTCAAAAGGAGGAGAAGAATCAATCGGAGAGACCAAGGTAGGAGTACTTTGAGAATGGTTGTTGTGATGAGTAGAAGTACCTTCTAACCAATCTGCAACAGTAGGAGAGTTATGATCTTGTTCATTGTTGATAGTTAGATTGTTAGTTAAGAGTGAGTGATCTAAAGTTAAATTCATACAGTTTGAATCTTGAGGATGAGGATGAGGAAGAGTAGATTGAGGATTGGGAGAATGAGGAGATTCAGGTTTTGTGATGGGTTGTAGATTGATTAAAGAAGGTAATTGTAGTGGAGAAGAAGTAGAAGAATTAGAATTAGAAGTGATAGAAGAAGAACAAGTTGAAGGTACAGTTGAATTTGAATTTGAGTTGGGTAAGATTAACAAGTTATGATCAATGGTTGGAGTTTCAGTTGATGATGGATTTGGTTGAGACATGATTTGATGGTTTAGATTGAGATGAATTTGATGAGTAGTGATTGGATTGAGTTGATGATTTGATGATGATGGTAAAGGAGGTAAAGAAGAGAATGATGATTGATTTTGATTTTGATTTGATGATTGATGATTGATAAGAGTGATGGTAATAGTAGTAGTAGTAGTAGTAGTGTTAGTGTTGTTGTTGTTATGTTGATGAAGTGAATCGGTTACAATCATAAATTGATAAAGTCGAGATAATACTTTAATTAAAAATCCTATCTTTTCAATCAAACTTGGATTTAAATCTCGAAGACTAATGATCTGATGACCAGTGGTTCGATTTCCTTGTTGACTATTCTCTTGTTGATTTTGAATCGATTCTTTTGATTTTGATTTTAATTTTGATTTTGGTTGATTTTTAAATTTTAATAATTTCAGTTTTTCTCTTTTCAAAGTCAAACCATCCAAAGTGAAATTTCAAATCAAACAGTCAAATCGATTTCAGGTTTCGTCCGTCCGTTGGGTTCAGTACAGTAATCAAGTGTAATCAGTAAATCAGTCATCAGTTCAGTTCATTTGGGTTTGGGTTTGAGTTTAGTTTGTTTGTTATTTTATTCATCAATCATGTTGATCAATATTTAGGTTTATTATGATGATGATGATGATGATGATGATGTCATCACAATCCATACAACCCAAACCAAAACCAAAACCACAAACCAAGAAATCAATAGAAAAAGGAAAAGAAAAAGAAAATCAAAATCAAATCCGTTAATAATTCTCTCTTTTCCTTTTCCAAGGTATTTCGAAGCACTCGAGTTTCAATAAACAACCCTAACTTCGAGTAATGAAAAAACCTCAATTCACTCACCTTTGAAAATCAGTTTCTTGATCATGATCAAACTCATCTTGACTTTTCTCATCATTCTCATCTTGTTTTGTAACTTGAAATTTTAAATTCGAATGTGATCTTCTTTCAAACACTTTACTTATCTTTCTTTTAATCGAAATCAATGAAAGTTTTCGTTTCATTTTCTATAAAATCAAAATCAAAACCAAACAACTCTAGAATCAGAACAAGAAAAGCGAACAATTTCAAAAAGAGATTGAAAACTTACTGATCTTGTGTATGTGTGCGTGTGTTGTTGACTTGGTTTAACGGGTTGGTTCTTTTGGTATTCAATTGAATTTACTTGATTTCCTTCTTTACTTAAAAGACTCGTGATCTCGTACCAGCGAAAGTTGAATAGAAAGAAATCTAGACGATATATAAAAAGGGAATCTATAGATTCTTTAAAGGATGACGCATTCAACCAATATATATATTCCAAGAAAACCTATTTAGAAATAGGAGTGATAAACTTATACGTAAAAAGAAAAGAATGGATCTGTTTGGGTTTGATCAATCAAGAAATGATGAAAAGTCAAGAAATCTACAAACAGAAAACCAAGATAAGTTCTCAAGAAAAGTGTGTAAGAATGATCCCGATTCTCAGCTATCTATGATCTGTGTTTTAAAAGATCTTTTAAGCAAGACTCATGAGTATGTTACTATAGAGCTTTTGAATCGATCGATCTCTTTTACGTTACGGTTTAGAGTCTTCAGCTAGGAAACCAGTCTTGACCTTCACTCTAATGAAAGTTTTATAGAATTTCCTATCTATCTATCTACGTATCTCCTTTGTTAAAATCAAAATCAGATTGATATAGAATCAAAGAAAAAAATGGATGGATCAAATGTAATACGGGAAAAGGATTCGAGTTGTACTATATAACAAGTTTAAATGATCAGCTGAGTTTTAGTTATTTAATGATCTCAAGCTCAACACACTTTCTTCCGAAATCCTTGAAACTTCATTCGAAGTCTTGTATCACACAAAGGCAATTCCTCGACCTATACCTTGTCCCCCCCCAAAAAAAAGTCAAGCTCATCTTCAAAGTTACAAAACCAAAGTTCTTATCATGAGAAAAAAAAATTCCTTATCTATACCTAAAACTTCTTTTTTGAGAAATTCTATTCAAAACCGGTTTCAAAGAATATACTTAACGTTATTTTCAGACTTGTGTCTTTCCTTGGATGACATGTCTTCTGTTATCTTTTAAAATTGCCTCATCTGACTGCGTGAAACAATGAATCGAGTCTTGCAGTTGGTCTTGGCGACATCGCTTGAAGTGTATGCACTCACATGATCCAACAAAGAAACACATAGGACGATTCACGACTGACAAAAAAAACTCGGTTTGATAAACGGATCAAAGTGTATGTTGTATTGTATGCCAAGAAATGATGAATGGAAAGATAAACTTGAATGATCAATCTTCAATCGATCCATAACTTGTACCCCTCTCTGTTTCTCTGTCTGTCTCTCTGAAATAAAAGTGGAGAAGAATTCAATAGAACGTGTTGGTTAGTTTGTATGACATATCATAGAGATCTGACGATGGGTTTGTGAAAAGTTGGTTTTGCTTGAGTTTTAAAATATGTACGGGTAAAGTAAAAGGCATCAAGTTATTTTTTGTGTTCTGGCGAACAATAGCAAACAATTGATGATCCTTGAGATAAATTTCCTTTGTTTTGTTGACTTTTACTTTTTTAGGTATGTACATACATGCATTATTTCCGAACGAGGAATACAAAGATCAAATCATCAAAAAAATCTTCCCTGCTGTTTTTCTTTTACCTCTGCTTCCAAATTCAATCTGAAGGGATACATAAAAGGTTGTCCATAAATGATTTGATGATCTTTTTTTTTGGAATTCGGTATTACATTTTGGATATCAATTTCATGAATGGAGATTGGAAGGAAAAATCAAATCTTCAATCACTTTACTCAAAGTCTTTATTTTCAAAGTATCCATTTACCAAACTTAACAAAATCCCTCACATACGGTCAAACCCAAAGCCTGCGTAGGGACTTTACAACGCGCAATGTGGCTCTCCTGGCGTTAGAGGTTGTGAGTCTTGATACATAGGGGAAGAAAGGAATGAAAAACTTTTGCTACACAAAAGGTTTTCAAATTTCCTCATGAGTAATGGAAGTCTTGCCTCTTCCGGGCAAGACTCTCTATTCAGATCTTCCTTATCTTGAACCCTTCTCAAGATTCTACTGTTGTCCAAATTGTGTCTTTTTGATTTTTACATACAACAATCTCATTTGACCTCTGCTTTGGATTTTTGAAAATCAAAGATCTGCTTGCATTTTTGGGCATCAATGAAAACTTGAGAACAGCTCCAGATATGGATGATTTGAGTTGAGGGTTTTACTCAGAAGCAGCAGGACTTGAATTTCCCCAAGTAGGGATTGGAAAAGTCTTCTGCTGCAAAACTTTTTCATTGAGTCCTTTTTTCCCCTATTAAATCTCACACCAGGAGAGCCATGTTGGGTGTAAGCTCTACACAGGCTTTGGGTTTTACCACATGAAAAACCAGGCCCAGACAGGAAAAAGTAAGATCTCTTGGTCCTTGCCACTGGCCAGGTACTTACTTTGTACAAAGCCT